TTACTAACAGATCTTCAACAGCTCAAAGGCTGAGGCAGACCAAAGGTCAGGGAGAGAAAATAAAGGGGTGGGATGAGAATTTAGGGAATTAGCTGGACGCCTTATACTCCAAGTGAGTATTGGAGGAAGAGCCTGCAATTGAGTTTAACATCAATCCACATCCACACAAATTAAGCTTGAAAGAAATTGAAGAACATTGTTAGAAAGGGTGTTCTCTTCAAGTGTGGTTTTAGGTTTAAATAGGCCAGCACTTTAAAAGAGGGCTAAGATGTGTCTTACAGGCTATTAAAAAAACAATACTTCAAAAGAAGTTCTCTTAGTATGAAAAAGAGGGGGAAAAGCTTGCATCTTGTGAGTACTGAGAAAGTACAGTAACTAGGGGAAAAGGCGTGTGATGGAGAGGAGAATGGGAAGACATAGTTAAATATAAACCTGGTTTTATTTGCGAAGCTTTAATCTTGACAAAGGCCACCTTCTTAAGGCAAACACCTTGTCCAGGGAGCTCATAACATTATTTGTGTTTCAAAATCCAAGCTATCACCCAAAGGATTTCAAATTCTGGGAGAAACTATTTGTTTAGAGTCCACTGTACTGAGTGATAAGATAACAGCAAACCATAAAATATTAAGGAACCATTAAAAAGGAGTTAATATGTAATCATGCAAACCAGGCCATAATAAGTAGAAATCTGTAAATAAGTCTGTTATTTCCTTGAGAGCTGTTCATCTGCCAGGCACTTCTCTGCAGTATCTGAAACTTCTTCTTTTTTAAATAAATGATTAATAAATATTTAACTGAAACATGTAATATTCATTTTCAGGAAAGATGATTATTTGAAATGATTAATTTTTACTAAATGAAATAAATTATAAATGAGAATCAAATTATGTCTGTACATGTAACATTTGAATGAATGTTGGTTTGTTTAGCATAGGTATTCTTCTGAGAGCTGAATTAAGGTCTTCTACTACCAAAATAGAAAGGCACTCTTTTCCACAATTATAGGAAAAAATTAAGGGAAATAATTTTCTCAATTTACATTTTTCTCCCATTAATTGTTCTGAAACATTTGGCTTCTACTACAATTTGTTCTTAATAGAATCTCATGTAAGAGCATAACATCATTGCACAAATGTAGTTGTTATACTTTGCTAAGTATACACTCTTGATCTCATTACTACTGAATAGCTAATAAAATTATGACAGAGAAATTATTTATGATATGAACTGTTGTCTAAAGGAAAACCACATTGCTACAGAGACTATAAAATCTACCTTTGGCTTACAGCCAAACCAGCAGATAGCCATGAACTTGCTCCATGTAGTACTGGCCTCTGAAGTCTTGTTCACACTGAACTGTGCTTAGGTGGGAGTCCATCAGCCTCTCCTGAGCGATGCAGGAGACAGCATTTTCAGGTCTGCTCCTCTTAGAGCAGCTCTGCATGTTACATGGTGGCCTCTTTTCCGTAGGCCTTCAGGAAGAATTTATTTTTAATTTCAGTATCAAGAAAAGTTCTTCTTTTGAATATTTTTGGGGGACATACACTTGTATAACTAATAAGGTTTTTTTGGTTGTTTGTTTTGTTTTTGCACTTGCTATTAAACAAAACCTTCCTGCTAAACCCAAGCCCGCCCATAGCAAGGTGACCCGCTTACTGGTATGCGTGTTCATGTCATCCTCTTTCCTGCCTTTTGTTTGTGTCCCTACATCTGTTTTTGCTTTCTCTCCGGCTTGTAACATATGTTACCTAGTGGAATTTTATGTTTTCTTTTAAGCAACTGTAAAACCTTTGAGGGAATGAGCTAAGTAAATATGTCAATTCATTCAAATAGATATGAAATTACGTTGTGGTAACTTTTACTAAGAGCATGGTGCTTCCCAATTACTTTGCCACCTGAACAAGTATGAGAACCTTTGATTTAAAATGTTAGCTGCTTAGGAGGGCAGGGCGGAGAAGATTCTTTATAATATCCTGGCAAATACCAAACCACGCTCTCACCACCAACCAGTCATTTTTAAAGACCTGTTTGGTGCATTGCAGAAAAGTACTGTCTTCACAGTCTACTTGTGAAGCTACACAACACCACAATCTAAAATGCTGGCCATTCATTCCAGTTTAGGCTCTGGCACAACTTATTTACCTCTCCCTGTTTTAAGCCTCCTTAAACCAGCTGGCAACCAATTAATTTTTCTCACTGAGTAAATTTCTACTTAATTCTGTTTTAAATTATCCAATTTGTCAGGGGATGATTTACAATAATTTCTGAATCACATTCTAAGACTGTGGACTCGGGATGTAATGTTAAGATTTGCATCTGCTATTAAAAAATGTTTCAATCTCTACCCCTGAGAAAAGCTTAATTAGGTCGGTTAAATCCCCTGAAGACAGCCCATTCAAGCTGTTCGATTCTTTGCTGAGCCTGCATAATGAACACCCGACCTCTGTGTGCAAGTCCGCAGACCTTGGGGTGGGTGTACCAGCTGATTCAGACGCCCCACCTACCGGGAAAGGATGGAGTCCCAGGCTGAAAACAGAGCAGCTACAAAAAAGAACCACGGTTTCACAACAGTGTGAACATGCTCAACACCACTGAACTGTGCATTTATAAAACTTGCCATTTCAACCATTTTTGTTATATACATTTTACCACAACTTTTAAAAAGTAATGAGTGGTATAAAACAAGGTGATCAACACATCAGAAATTAATAACAATTGTTTATAATAATAAGTACTGTTATATTGATATTACACTATGTCATATTTATATTATTATTAATAATGTTACTATTAATAATAATCAATACCTAATTCTAAGCACTTTACATAGAAATACAGCTTTCATCACTATTCCCTCAAGACTACTTAGAAAATGAAAGTTTTACATTATTTGTCCCATCTATAAATGTGGTTGCCAGGTTCCAGACTTTCAGAAAGTCTCTGTAGTCAACACGGAGGAACAGTGATAGAAGGAAGTTGAGATAAATAGAACAGGTAAGCCCATCACCAAATTTCTTGCAAAAAAACCCCCCAAAAAACCAGACAGGTGAGTATATGAAATCATCTATCTGTACATCATCCTTGCGACATTGAGAAGCAGCCCCTAATAGTAATGCATGAACAGGCATGAATTTAAGGTGGCTCAGATGTTGGGTAGTGGAAAAGCAGAACAAAATCGATCACATCAGCACTTTAAAATCTTGTCATTATCCAGATATTCCCGTGCGATTGTCTCACCTTTCAGTTTCCTGCACATGACACATTCTTACGCACTCTCTCCCTACTCCATTGCCATTCCCTCTGATCCTGTCTTACCCAGAGTGAGTCAGAATCCTGCCCAGTGTGGCAGCCATAACGCTACCAACACTGACCCACTTCCAATCTGGCCACCACCATCCATCATCCACAGTTTGCAGAACAGGGATATGTTTTGTACATGTATATTTCTCTTACCTCACCCCCAGATTGTCCTCCCAGGTAGCTGCTGTTTTTATTTCTTTTGACTTTGCAAAACACAGGACTTATGGGCATGGTGCGGGGGGGTGGGTAGAAGGAGGTGGGTGTGTAAGCCAGTATCAGACTCTGTGCTCAAGGAGTAGGAAGAATGGGTAGGTATGTCAGGAAAAGGTTCCAGGCCTGGAATTTAAGTATAAAGCTGCTACACTTCTCAAGTCTCCATTGACCCATATCCTAATCCAGTTCTTTGGGGTTCTGCACAGGTTGCCTTAACGTTTGCCCAGTGTCTTCACGGTCTGGGCCAAATCACCTTCTTCAAAAGCTTCCACAGTCTGACTCCATCCTACGTGGGTCACTCCTTTGACTGACTTCTTACTATTTACCACTCAGGGTGAAATCTGCCCATAGGCTGTGTTTGCTTCTTACGCTTGTCTTCTCTATCCAACTAGAGAACAAGTGTTCGAAGAACCCAGGCAGCGTCTTTTATCATCTTTCTTTGTTCTCCCCTACAATGCATCATAGTGCTCTCTTGTATAAATAGAGTAAGCTTAATAGAGGTTTTTAAAAATTAAGATGGTGGTCCATCTAGGGAAGTTAATATCATTAAGTTTATTTCCATATACCAAATGCAAAATGCTTAGATATCTTTTGGCAAGGACATTTCATATAACTGAGAGAGATCAAGTTTTAAATCTGCGTAAGTCTCTCCCAGCATACTACCTAGATATGAAGAACGTTCTCGTTCCCTGGGCACCAACAGCATAAATGTCTCCCCACACACAGTCCTTTTGCATGCCTGTGTCTTTCTGCTTTCCCTGTCTTTGGACTACGGGCACATAACAACTTGGGAGAACCAGGCATTCACAATTTTTCATGAAAGAACTCTCTATAAGGAAAGCCCCCCCCCAAAATGGTAGCATAGAACTCTGATAATTTTAAGTACGTGTTAGGCCCACTGCCTTAGAGCATGTGCCGCTTCAAGAGCCAAATTCTGCTGTCTGTGACCTGCTGCTTCTTGGTCCATCCATAGAAGGAGGTGGTGAGACATTTCATGGTTCTTTGGAGGATCCCAGCTACTTGCCGAAGGTTTTTCCCCTGAGTTTGCCCAAATGGACCTGAACTCAAAATATAGTGGTTATTCAAAGTTATTCTAAAAGGTGTCATGAAGTTTGTAATTTCTTTTAACAACCTTAAAAAAAAATCCTGGAGAACTAATTCCATGTTTCCTCTGACCCTTTTGTATTTGTGGTTCACTCATAGCCCTTTTTCTCCAATTCTTAATTAGAATGATTAATGCTTAGATGGTATCTGTTTGGCTCTTTTTCCAAGCCATGATTCTACCGTGAGTCATTTATTTCTTTTCCGTAGCACGTTATGGCATAACGAACAGTGGAGTGTGTTAGGTCAGTGGAGGATATACACTGTACTGCAAAAGTTGTAATTTCATTTAAATGACTTCAAACAGAGGAATAAAAATACATATTTTTATTTCAAAGTAAGAAAGGTTTTAATATTTCTATGCAGATCAGCTATAACCCAAACATTTCCTTGAGCCCCGAACAAGTAATTTTAAGATCGATTAATAGTTCTTATAATTAATGTTCATGGTAACCTATTTGGGGAGGATGAATCATAATCATTGTAATTTCCATTTTGTGAAAAGAGAAACCAGGTGGGAAGGAGAAGCTGGGCGTCTAATCACCTTGCTTCTGGTTTCGGCTCTGATGAGAACAAGCAATAGCCTCAGGCAGGTTGTTGAACCTTTGTGGCCTTATTTTTTGCTATACTGGGTGATGAAGTTGGACCTCATGCTCCATGCTCATCTCTTCCCCTCCCTCGTACGTGGCATGTTTTCTTGCTTCTATTATATCTCTGTGGATCGGAAGAGATCCTGCACATTTCTGCAGGAGAGGGACCCAGGACCAGCTGCGTAATTTGTGGAGCCTTTAGCAAATTGCATATGCTAGACTCACTGTTGGAAATTATTAAGGGGAATTTCAGGAGAGTGACCACAGAGCAGTCAGCTGGCCAGGGGCCCCTCCTGGCCAGCACAGCTGCGTTTGGGACAACAGCCCCCGCGCTGGCTTCGCAGTCACCAGCTTTCCCCCAGGCGACCTGTGTTTTGGAACAGTGTGCCAAGTAGTGTGAGCTCGAGTGAAGCCAAGGTTCTGTGTGCCGTTCTCCCATGGTTATTTGGATTCTGCTCTGCGTCTAATGACCCCTAATACTGAACATCAATATTGTGTCATCCATCCCAAGCAAGACCAGTCAGGTTTATGAGGCCAGTGGGACCTCTGAAAATATTCTTGCTTGTGCTTTTTCTCATGGATGGTCAGAAAATCACTGTCGTGTAGCTAAGACAGGGTAGTGTAAACACTTATCCTTTCATATGATAAGATTTCTTTTGTCTCCACTGGCAAGAACAGTCAACCACTTAAAAATCTTGTTTGTTTCCTTTACTTTTAAATCATAATTTCTTTTTTGAAAAAAAAAATCGGAGTAACAGTTACCCAGGTCTAGAAATGGTTTTAAGAAACATCTCTTTTATTAATGTGTTTATGTTTTAAAAGATGTGTTTATGGTTTAAAAGAACTATCGTGAAGCATGTTAACTATATGAATATTACTTTATATAGCATATTAATCATTGTGAAAGATAAGCCATTTTCTTATTGGTTCTTGATATTTTCCCACTTATATTCAAAATAATGCAAAAATAATAGCCATCATCTCACTTAAAGGTAGCAAGGAGTTACATTATAAAAGTTTCATACATAAAACTGTATTCTCTAATAGAGAATTTAACATAGCTATAAAATACAATGCCTACTCAAAATAGCTTGATATCTTTAAGAGTCCTTCCTGTCTCTGAACATTCAAGTCTAGTTAATATCACAGCCGAAGAGTTCCAGGCGAAGTGCAATACTTTGATTCCACGTTTTCGGAATGATACGGATAAATCTGGAAATGATTGGTGGGTTGAAAAAGTTCTTCACATGTCCTTTGATATTACTGTTTCCTTCAAAAATCTGAAAGCAAAATATGTGAAAATCTTTAATGATGGTATAATGAGTATAAAAACCTTACAGATAATCTTTAAATTCTTTTTGGACATGGAAGAGCACAGAAGACATTCATTCAGAGAGGATCCTCAGTCAGTTATGAAGTCACACTCCAGACAGACCTCTTTAGGGGTTTCACCTCACCAATGATCTGAGTCGAATTAGGGAAAAATGAAACATTTGATGCAGTGTCATTGAGCGGCTGCAAAACCGGCTCTGTCCTTAGGCCCTGTGTAGCTGCGCGACTCTGAGCAAGTTACTTCTATTTCCTGAATCCCGTTTCCTCATGAGCAAAATGGGGATAACATTTTTCCGTAATAGGAGTTGTAAGGATTAAACAAAGTATGTAAACATATAACAAGGACCTAGTAAGTGCCAGGTAGCAGCACCGATGCATTTATTTTAAATGCTATCACTAGCATTTAAAATAAAACTTAACCGTCCACTTATAGTTCTCCTTTTCATTACACCCTGTATCTTCAGCTAAACTGTGTCCCTTCCTCACCTCCCTCCCACTTTTTTCTTTCCATTCCCAGCAAGTTTCCCAAGATTTACACACAGCAGAGGCTAAGTCACTGTTTATGACAATGATGCTTATCCCGCTATAAGGATGTTCTGGTACAGTGAGAAATAAACCAAACCCAATCAAAGAAACAGCCAACCTAGGGCTGGACTGTTTCAGAGCCACAGGCATTTGATCAGTCACGAAAAACAAGTATATCCCTTGTTTTTCGCAAGGCAATGCCGGTAGGGTGTTATTTCACCATGGCAGAATTTCCAGACCCCTGTTGCAGAATTTCCAGACCCCTGTTGCAGACTGTGTGTTTGTGTCCTCCCAAAATTCATGTAATAAAATTTGCTATTCTATATCAGATAAATGGGATGGTGTGAGGATATGGGGCCTCTGGGTGGTAATTGGGATTAAATTAAATGGAACTAATCCACATAAGAAAAGGGGAGGAGTCAGGAAGCTCGCTCTTGCAGTGCACTCACCAGGGAAGGCCGTATGAGGACGTACAAGAAGAGGGCTCTTACCAGAACCCAGCCATGCTGGCTCTCTGATCAGGACCCCTGCCTCCAGAAGTGCGAGAACAAGTGTTTAAGTTGCCCAGTCTGTGGTTAATTTGTCATAGGAGCCCAAGCCCCATCTCTCTCAGTCAGAGGTAACGAAGCTTCACATCACCCCCCCGGAGTTCTGTTCTCACCACTTTACAGGTGGCTCAGTCAGAGCAGAAAGGTAACATGCATGGTCCCTGTTCCAAGGCCTGGTGCCTGCAGAGCTAGGATTTAGTGGACTGAAAGGGCCGGTACATGCCAGTGCACGTTTGTCAAATGCAAAGAGCTGTCTGCAACTACAAGGCACTGCTCTCAGCACAGCTTTCTAGTTCCTCTCTTTTTGCCCAGACACCGCCCTGTACCTTGTCCACCATGGAGGACTTCTGCCTGTAGGGCTTCCATTCCTCGCCCTGGTCGCTGTAGTAGATGGCATAGCTCTTCACGTACATTTCAGTGGAGAAGGACTTGCAACCCTGGGTGACGATCGCGGTTATCTTCTTGATTTTGAGCAGATCAACTTGTAACCATTGTTTGTTGTTGTTTGCCTATGAAAATGACAACACAGTGATGAGACAGATGTTAGAACCTTTGCTGTTTTAGGCCAAGTTATTCAGAAATGTACAAAGCTCAAAGGATATCTTTTCTGTGATGTTAGGATCTCTAACCCTGTCTCCTCCCTGGCTTCTCTGTTCCTTTTGTTTGTCCTTATAGCACATATATTAACTTCTTCCAGAGCATTTCACACATTGTGCAATCCTTATTTGTTTACTTCTTTGTATCCCTGCTTCTTTGAGGATGGGGCCAACTTAGTTTTCTGTCTGTGTACTTACCACAATGCATGGCACACAGTTGGTGTTCATCAAATATTTGCTGAATAAACAAGTAAATGAAATTTACTTGGGAAAAATATTAAATTGATAACTTATCTGTAACTGTTATTCTGGTAAGCAAGTTTGCTTAAAAATATATTACTGATATTACTGAAGGGTTATCTGGAAAAGAATTGAATAGTGTCCTCTATTTATTTTAGAAAAGCCCCATTTTTCTTTTTCTGCTAATGTCAAATACGAGAAATAGTGCAATTTCTTTTTTTCAGATGTTCCAAATACATATAATATTTCAGAGACCCGATAAAGCTCTACCTAGGCTTGATTGCCATAGCAATTGTCCGGTCTCTGGCTGAACAAAACGCCTAATCACATGTTTGGTGGCACGCACTTGGGGAAAGAGGATCCGAAGGACTAACTGAGTTTTAGAGTAATGTGAAATGAATTTTCAACTTTGGGAGAGTTATCATGCTTCATAGAATCATTCAGTTCTAGGCGAAATAATGAATATTCATATATTTTTCTCAACATCACTCTCATGTGCATGTTTGTAGGTATACATATGTATACATATATGTATGTATATAATCATATGCCTTACGTATTTTTGGAGAAAATTAATTGAATTAAAATTATTGTATTAGATTTTTTTTTTTGTTCATTTTGTAATACCCTCTAGTGACATTTGGTAATATCTTAGTATGCCTTCAAATCAAGGCTGTTCTAGTGATACCAAATATAGGTCGCTAGAGGAGTTTTCTAAGCATACAGTTTTTCTGCAGGCCTAAGAGGGATAGAGGCCCTTCAATCTGCGTGCATGCCTATGTCCGGTGTGCCCAGCTCAGGCTTTCCGCCTCTCTAAAGAGACTCTATAAAGATATTTCATGCTAATCGGTTAAGTGAAACAAATAACTCTGACCTAAAATTCCAGATTTGAAATGATAGCATTAAAAATTAGCATTTCCTCTCTGGAGCCTTTCTCACTTCACAAAGACTGGGAGCAAACTGCATGAAGAGTCCGTTGATTAAAGGCTGTAAAGTGGAGGGTGGGGTGACGCAGCTTCACCTTGGGCAGCTCTGAAGCATCACCTGGGACACATCTGAATTCCTTTCTCTTTGTAACTTTCTATTGTCATTTTTACAATTTTTTAAAATTATATAAATGTAATGTAACATTATTACTTTTATTATGTTAACTTTCTGGGTCTCAGTCTGCCCTTCGGCAAAATTGCAAAATGCAGTGCTTGGGTTGCTTTAAATGGTGGACGGGAGCCTGGCCTGTTGATTGGGAGAAGGGGACTCTGATCCTGTCCCCAGCCTGAACTAAAATGATTTAATCTCCCCTGCATAGAGGCTTAAAAGGAAAGCCTGGGCCAGATGATTGTAGAATCCCTTCTGTTCTAACGTTTTGCAATCCTCTGAAAGTCCTGAAATGAGTTTTGAGGCATAGACATTGGTTCCCAAAATTATCTGTACGGGGTCCAAGGCCCTCTGTTTCCTCCACTAGTACCACTGGTCACCTAATGCAAGATCAGGATGTGGAAATCGGCAGAGTCCAGGGAATTGGAGTGTGGGGACCTTCAGGGAGGGAGTTGGGAGGATCGCAAATAGGGAATCTGGACTCAGTTAGTTGACAGGATTGTTCTTATTTCTGATGTCATTCTGATGTCTCAGGTCAGTTGAAGAGTACAGTAGAAGTGAATCAGTAATTAGGAGTTACCCTAAGTCTGTCCTCTGAGTTACTCGATGGGCTAATATCAGGGGCACTATAAATCTCTAGAAGATGTTTCTTCAGCTTAGAGCACTGATTTATAACCCTGGTTTTGCAGCATTTTACTGTGCTGCCAGTTGTCTAAAGGAATATCACAAAGTTCTCAAAAAAATGAGAACAAAAAAATTTAAATGACACTCTTCAGAAAATAAAAAATATTGCTATACTGTGGGGTAGGGGGCAGAAAAGATATTGCAAATCTAAATCACTCATCACTAATGTAAGTTGTCTCAAAGGGGATTTGCAAACTACAGCTCAAGGCCAAATCTGGCCCACTGCCAGTTTTTGTAAATAAAGTTTTATTGGAACACAGCCATGAGCATTCATTTCAATAATGTTTATAGCTGCTTTCCTGTTATAATGACAGAGGTGGGTAGTTTTGACAGGAAATGCATGGCTCACAAAGCCTAAAATATTCATAATCTGGCCTTTTGCCCACCCCTGGTCTAAGTTAAGATTAGGCAAAACACTGCAAAGATGATAAATGACTTCTCTGTGAGCCAGAGTTAACACTGTAGCTCTCAAGTCAGCAGGTACCCCAGATTCTCAGAGCTAGGATCATAACCTGCAGAAACAGGGGGTGATTGTCTGGCTTCCCGGGCCCCCATGTTCCTCAGAGTGAGGTCTTTGTTTCCTTCTGGAAGCTGGGAGGGCTGTGTTCACAGGGGATAGTTCACCTTGGCTTGCCAGGCATTCACACGGCCCTGGGCATTCAGACGGCCAAGGGAGGGTTCCCAGGTACCTCCCCACCAAGACTTCTTAAACGAGGAAGCTGTGATCTGCGAGTTTTCTATCTTTCCGCTTTCCATACCCAGCGGTGTGGAGCATCCTGTTGAGAGAAAAGTATGGCGACTAATTACAGGCCACCCACCTTCCCTGCAGGGCATTTTGTGCTGCTGAGGAGATGAGAAACACTGAGTAACCACAAAATGGCCATGACAACAACCAGCTTTGATTGTCCAAGCACCCAAACCTGTTTCTAGGCTTTACTCGTACTGTTATATAATGCTCCTAATTGCCTCTATTTTACAAAGGAGAAAAGCACAGCAAGAAAAAGCAACTTGCTTGCAGTGACATTGCTAGGAGAACTGGAAACGGAATCTGGGCCCAGACAGTCTGACACCAACACAGCTAAATTCATTTCCCTCCTTCAGTCTTGGAGCATTAGGATTTTGCTTTGAGGTAGACAGTACTCCCGTCTCGGTACGTAAAAACAAACTCTGTTTCTTCTTCTAACAAAAGCTAGCAAGAAGAAGATAAAGTGGACCCTTGGTAGTCACATTTAACAACTTATTTTCAGCCCTTTGAGGGTGATTCATGTTATGCACCCTTTAGAATTCTGCCAGGGCGTGAATTTAAATGTCATAGGCAGCGAGGCTGACCTGTGGGTGTAAGAATCATAGCCCATGAGGGAGCCCAGCCCACTGACCATTGCCGTCATCTTGGTGACACATGGTTCTTGCTAGTAAATCATGTAGGTGTTTTCTTGAAGTGCTATCTTACTCTCTCCATGAAAGAAGAAAAGGCTTGCCCTGGCTGGGTAGCTCAGTTATTTAGAGCGTCCTTCTGATATACCAAGGTTGTAGACTCGATCCCTGGTCCGGGCACACACAAGAATTAACCAATAAATGTATAAATAAGTGAAACAACAAATGAATGTCTCTCTCAGTCTCTCAAAAAATCAATTAAAAAAGCCTTAAAAAGAATACTAATTATATAAATAACATGAAATGAGATTTTTTAAAAAATGTAATACTTCTTGTATAGAAAATAGAGTTGAATGTCCAATTTTAGCTAGCTTGACTCTGTGAGCTGAACAAACTACCATTGACATCATATACCACATGGAAGGGAAAAAGCAATAGTTTAGAGAGCTGGTCGAGGTGTGCTCCTGCCATACAGAAGTTGCCTTTCATGGGGAGACGTTACGGGCCGCGGGCATCTGGGTGCTGGCCAAATGCCCATACCTGTGTCCCTCAGACTAACAGTGTAAGGGCGCATTATCCACTTTGGTAAGAAACTGATTCCTAGGGTCAGCAACATTCTCCACCATGAGCTGTGGCCCTTCCCTGCACCCTGAGAGAAAGCGCCGTGGCTTCTCAGCAGGTGCACCACGGCAAGTTTCGGGTGTGCCTGTGTATCTGTCCGCCTCTGCCCTTAGACCAGCCAGGTGGCATCGGGGGCAGCCAAGCCCCGGGACAGCCCCTTTAGTCTTTTACTCCAGACTCCTAGACAGGTGTTATCTCCTATATGTGCTTTGCAGCAAAAACTTTTGGGAAGCACTACTTTAAGAGTCAGAGAAGGAGAACAGTTGTTAAACTCTCAGACATCTTTGTTATGTACGGTAGAATTTCATTATGGCCACTAATGGTCACCTGGATTTATTTATACCACAGGTCCCATCCTATCCCCTGAAAAAGAGCAGCTTGCATAGAAAAGGTTTGGGTGCCTACACAGGGTGCAAAACAGAATATAGAGTATGGTCAAGGCCTCAGGAAGTTGGCAGGCAGACTTAGATGTCAAAAACATTCATCAAACCCTAATACATGCCAGGGATGTTGCTGGATACTTTTATTACATTAAAGTCTGAATGACCTGGAGAGCTCCAGGAGAGTCAGGCCTAGTTTGAATTTCACCTCTATTGAAAATGGGCTGATCAAGGTCACTCTAAACTAGGGCCCTTCCCTGGAGTGTCAGGGCAAAGCCCGTATCATCCAGGTCCTGCCAGAACCTGGGTCCTTCTAAGTCACCCTGAGGGTTTACCTGAGTGGAACCTCTGCTTCCCAAAAGGTTGTTTTAAGGAGCCAAAGTGATTGAAGAGGACTAGAAAGAGCCCCCCTTGTCCTGTCCCTCCCAGCCTTGCTTCTCCGAGCGGCGGCACGGCAATAGTGCACCGCGGCTCCTTACCGTTAGTCTCACAGCCCTGCAGCTCCAGCCGGAGAGCAGGCTTGTTGTAGGATCGCGTTGGGTAGACCCGGACGTAGCGAGCCATGATTGGTGGGTCAAACTGGTTTTCTTTTACTGTGGAGGAGTCTGAATTGCCATCAAAATACTAGAGGAAAAGGGAAAAGCTTAGTTATGTAAAAATTCTAAATGATTTTATAGTAAAATTTTGGTCTAATTTAATATTGTAATTTTAAGTTTCCATGTGACCAGAGCCAAATCAATTTGGTCCTAAAACTATTTGGGGATACTTCCATTTTAGGAACGTGGTATAGACGCACTTTGCCCTGTTCCTCCTGTGAAGTACAGCTAGAAACATAAGAACACTCTGGAAGGTAGAGAAAAGAGGGCAGACTGGCTAGAGTTCTAGGACCCCAGGAACAACACAGTCATGGGCTGGGTTCCCTGGGTTTGCTTTTTGCCCTGCACACCCCAGACTTGGAAGAGAAGACGCCACCAACCAGGGAACACCAATGGGTTCGGACAAAAGAGCCCCATTTGAAACCTGCTTTATGTAGCCTCAGAACCAACAAAGGGTGGCCCAGCAAGACAGAAGACTTTTAGACAATAATTGCTCTACTTCAAGGTAAACAACATAGAAACAGCCATGGCCCCCCTCCCCGCCTCAACCATTTCCAGGGCCAAGCGCGGAGCCTTGACTTCCACGGTCAGTCGTGAGGCTGCGATGAGGCCCCTCAGCACCCTCCCTGGGGCTGTGTCGGCGAAGGCCAGCCAAGGACTCAGGACCTTCACCCTCGTACTTCCTAACAAGGCTCCCACCCCTGCACGGTCAGCGGACAGCATGTCATCCCCACTCAGCAATAAAGAGGAGTAAGCCCCTCCTCAGGTGGGGGGCCTGGACTTTGATCATTGGGCAGTAAGGAGGCTGTGTCCCGTCCCGTCCCTCTGCCAGAGAAGCATCAGAAAGATCCAGCTGAAACAGAAGATAGGAGCAGACTAAGTAAGTTACTAAGATAGAAGACAGAAAAATAGTAGATAAAAGCAATGAAACAAAGAGCCAGTTCTTTGAAAAGACAAACAAATTTGGCAAATCTCTAACAAAGACTAACAAAGTAAAAAGAGAATATCAGGCATGAAATGGACAATGTTGTTATAGACACCACAGACATCAGAAGGATGCTAATGGGAAACTACAAACTCTAGACATAAATTTAACAACTTAAGAGAAAATGGATCAGCTTGTTGAAAGAGCACTAACTATCCCAACTCACCCAATATAAAGTAGATAATCTGAAAAGCCTGTAAGTGCTAAAGAAATTGAGTCTGTGATTTTGAAGCCCCTGGAAGGGCCATCTCCAGGCGCACATGGTTTCACTGGCGGATTCCGCCCAATGGTTAAAGAGTGAACGCCAATTCTAGGCGATCTCTTCCAAAAATAGAATAAAAGAGCATGCGTCCCAATTTATTTTTTGAAGCTAGTATTACTCTAATATCAAAGTCAGAAAAGACAGTACAAAAACAAAAATAAAATCCCATACCAACGTTCCTTGTGAATATGGCTGTCAAACTCTTTAAGCTATGAAATCTGTGTTCTTTCTCCAATACTAATTAGTAAGAACCATAATTTAAGATTTTTCTGTTCTATCCTAAGGTACAATACAAATGATTATTACTAGAAATAGCTAAGTGTTAATATAGAAAAATTAGTTATAGATAATATAGAAAACGAGAAGAAAGCAAGCTCATAAAATCAAAAGTCTTGGTGGCACATTTTTAACATGATCTTCTTAAGGCACAAGACCAGATAGTCTACTCTACTGTACACCATCTGCTAATCTGAAAAGTCTGGGCATTTAGATTGATGATAAAGTGATTTTTTAAAAGTTTTGTGGAGTTTTAAAATTTCAGAAATCAGACTTATCCCTTTAGTTTGTAATATACAGACCCATCATTTTACCACCTTCCTCCATAAGGCCCGAAGAACACCCAGAAAAGCAGTATTTGTACAAAAGAAAGAGTCATGGACACAGCCACAGTAACCACGAGGTGAGTCTGGGGATTCAGGAAGACACTGCTTACAGACCATCACGTGCTTTGTGCTGTTCCCTTTGAAAATCCGCCAGTTGGTCTGGTCGGAGCTGTAAGCCACTTGGAACTCAGTGACGTAGTAGGACTTCAGGTAGTGTTTGGCACCTTGGGACTGGATCCCTGTGAACAGGACTTCCCGTTCCATGTCCACCTGCAACGTAGCAGAGCCATTGAACAGAACTGTCCTTATCAACAAGTCACATGCTGCGTTAGTTCGTTGTGCAACCAGCTTTCCTTAGAACTAAGGAGCTGGCCCCTCAGGTCTTAGCAAACTAACAGGGTGGCTGGATGCAATTCATGCCCGAGCACAGAGTGCCCAGACCCAGATCACAGCTCAACCGCTAACTCGCTGGTGTGACGTCGGGAAGTTAGTTAATCCCTCTGTCTCGGTTTTCCCACCTGCAAAATGGGATATTACTAGAACCAACCTCATCAGGTTCATTTTAAGTATGTTATACACTTAGAATACTGCCTAACACCTAGTAATTGCTATTTCCCCTAACAACATTGCAAGAACAAGAAGAAATTATTAGTATCACTTTTATTATTACAGTAGCAGTAAATATTATCAGATTAATAAGTCATACCTGGATCCAAGGTTTAGAGTCAAATTCTGTCATTTTTGCTGTCATCCAAGCATTGTATGATCCACCATTGTTTAATCTTGCTAATTTGGGCTCCCAATGATCTAAATCCAAAGGAAGGAAAGAATTTATTATGAATTTAAAAAAAAAAACAACAGCCATACAATTAGCAGTTTCTCAGGCACATTCAGGTACATTGCAGGGGGGAAACCAGAGCCCTGAGGGCCTGCTTTTGCGGTGAGAAGACCAGACAGATGGCACCAGCTTGCGCCCCTGACTTAGTCCATGGCGACCAACCCTTGGCTTCAAGTCTGTGCTTGGTCAGCCATCAACTACCACCCACCCCCTTTCTTGCAGGCAGGTCATGTTGATGCGGTTGCTGCTGAGTGTGCCTGCCTGCCTGCCAGGACAGCGTGGGAAGGATTACTGGGAGCCCCGTGATCCCTTGCCATCCACCTGTTGATCTTGGGAAGGTCTTTGAGCAGCGAAAGCACTTAAGAGGAGTTTCTAACACACAGTCAGTGGGTGATCAAGAAAGTTTCTTGAACAGATGAATGGTTGGCACAGCAAAGGGTCCTGTCAATGGGGACTCTAACTCAAGGCCAAGAAATCCCTGGGAATATGGCAGGAATATTACATGTGTGACCAAACCCAGAATGGGGATGAATGGGCAGTTTTGGAAAAGAACGCATGGGCAAAAGAGCAAGCTCTCTCTTGCCCAGTCTGCTGATGGGTCAGACTGCCCATGTCGGGAGACCAAGCTTCCCTGGGAGCGACTCTTTGGGACCCTCATTTACTAGAGGGGGCAGCAGTGATAAAGGGGTGCCAACAGGCTTTAGCTCCTGCCAAGTGCTCCTTCCTTGACCAGATAGGCAGCCCCCATTGAGCTACTTTCCCATATTGTGACCGAGAAAAGCCTGGAGAGGCGCAGCAACCCATGGACCCCGCAGGCGCGGTTGTCGTGCCTGGTGTTCGCAGGCTGGATCCTGCACCTCTGCCGGAGACGCCCCCCACAGGCCACAAGGCCGCTGCTCACCCAGAAACTCAGGCGCCTTGATCTGTCTGTCCGCTACGATGCCTGTACTCAGCCCCATTGGCATCTTACATTCTACGGAAAACAAGACAATGAATAATTTTTGCTTAGAAAATACATTTAACAAGGTACAGCTCCATGGCTAAAGATTATACCCCTGGTGGGTCAGTAGTGAGATATTGTGACCTGCTTTGTATAGCACTGGCTTAAATGTATCTGATCATAAAATGGTTAATGCACTAACAAGACTGGAACTTCAACAGAAATAATGACACCCTTGAGGAAAACAACTGATATCCTGAAATACAATTAGGTTTTAAACTGATTTCCATTTGCTTACATCTTAAAATAAGTTACTTTATAGCATTAAGTACTAGCCCTCAAAAGACTATGTTTTTGAAAAATTTACCTGGAAGGTAATACCAGCTTAGGGAATACCAACCACTGAACTGTCCAGATGTTGACCCAGTGCTTGGTACTCCACAGCTGCCTAATAAATGCTGGCTGGCTGGACAGACAGATGGACATTTTTTCTCAAATACTGGGACAGCAAGTTCAGTGACTGTGTTGGTGACTGTTGAATTCCTTGTGTCTGTTTCCTGCTCTCTGCTAGAGGTCTGGAGAATTCCTTACATGCACTTTTCCATGGGTCACAGATTATAAAGGAGGATACTTTATATTGGTTCCTCAAGTGAAAGGAATGCCTTTGGGCTGAACCGTTGGTTTGTTTCCTAGATGACCAATGTTTGTTGTATAATCAGACCATGGCCAGAATGAAAGTAATTACTGCTACAGAGTGTGTCTTTGTGATACAGAGTTCTGAGTTGAATATTTCCTATCGGAAAGTAGGTAATATTCTGGTAACAAGAGTCTCCTGCTGAAACTATCATGTGGCTCTTGCTGATACCTCTGTCTATGATGATAAATCGCGTTTGCATCCCTGCTCTTTGGTTTTCTCCAACCTCTGTGTCTAGGAGCCACCAGCCAGGCGTTGATGCCTTCATTTCAAGAGTTTTAAATGAACCTAAAATAGAGAGAGAACATTACATCATCAAAGAATAACAAGCTTTTATAGGCTGACAGCTATCAAAGAATCCTAACATTGCTGCATCACAAATAGCTTTGGAATACAACTAGAGTTTTCCATTTCTTTTTAGGCAGGACTATGGGTGTAACAAACAGATCAAAACAACAATACCACCACCACCACCACCAACCACCACCACACACACACACACACACACACACACACCCCCAACTAAATCACCCCAGAACTTTAAAAAAATACCTTTAACATCCCTTACTGGAAAGAAGCTTTCATTTATCTAAATGTTACAAGTTAACCCACACAAGATAGAGCTTTATAGTCCTAAATATCAAAGCAACCTTGAATGACCCATCCTTGGGCCTCAAAAATATTGTCCATGTTTCCTTTCTCTCCCTTCACTTCACTAGTTTTTCTTTTCTCATGTAGGGAAATTAAAATAAAACACCCTTCTCCCATGTTTCAAATTTTTGATATAGTTTACATATTTGGATAGAGTACACATAAACTGGTTCAGAACATCACTGAAAGAATGAGACTTCTGAAGCCTCTGATGATCTAGCCTGGTATTGACCATTACCTACTGCCAGTTGATACTTACATTCTGCTAACTAGAATGTGTGCCCATGTCCCAGACTGTGAGCAAAAACTAACAGGCGATGGTCGTCCTCCTCAAATGCTGAGAAAAGTCGCCAACCTTCCCCTCTCGCACGCAGATACGCAGGTTTGAAGGTTTGATGGGCCAGCCAACCCCTGCCTCTCAGTGCTCCCACTGCAGGGCAGCTCACCGCAGGTGGCCTGACCTGGTCACACGTGGTGAAAAGGAGGGGGCGCGTTTGACCTAAATCCCCTCTGTCCCGGATTTGAATAGAATGGCCCTGGCTCTGCCGGATCAAAGTCCCTGAGAGCAAAATCTCTGTGTCAGCATCGTCATTTCAGCTGGCTTCCTAGGTTTTTATTATGCCACTGCAGTCTGAGAATCAGTGGCCACACCCCGCCCCCGGTATATCTACGTATAACTCATTGGCACGTAAGAATCCTTTCAGACGACTAGTTTGTTTAAACCTTGTTGTTTTCCACATGAAAGGCTCTAAATACCCTTGTTATTTTTCAGCTTTTACAATCACTTTTTTTAAAAAATATTTTTTTTCTTTAAACAGCCTGATAAGGATCCTGTAGTCACTTGCCTGAAGGTACCAGAGTGATGGAGTGAGGAATAGAATTCAAGAAGTCAAACGCCCCCCCCCCCCCCCCCCCCCCCCCGCCGCCCCAACACGCTCGCTGCCCCAGCCCTGTGGGGGTCCTTTGTACTCCGCTTAAGACCTGGCCCGAGTGACGCGCAGTGGCCGGGAAGAACCTGCGCTGGGCCTGGCCTCTGCAGAACCAAGGCAGGCCGCAGTTAGCCTGTGTAGTGCTGCACGCAGCACCCGTGCCAGCTGGCTGTTTCCTGCTCTGGCTGCAGTTTGGGGGCATGGCTTTGCCAGGATCTATGCCAGAGCCCATGCATGACTCCTTAGAAGTAAATGCCCAGGGAGGGACTGAGGGACTGAGGGAGAGTTAGAGATGCTAAGAGTCCCGTCTTTCGCCATTTTTTAGCCAAGACCTCTCTTCATGGCCCAGATCTTTACCAGGAAGAAGGGGCCAGACCCCTAACTGGTGCTGTTGAGTGCCATTTTCCAGCAATGTCTGGCCATGGAAGTGGACCACGTGGATGTCTCGGGAGCCACCCAAGTTCAGCAGGTGCAACCTCACCCACTCCTGCTCGTACATTATCAGGCCGGGCAAGTTGTAGATCATCCCGTTGATGGCTGAAAGGACAGAATTGCAACCACTTACAAATCTGTGTACATCAGAAGAGAGGCTGGTAAGGATCTAGGAGGGCCCCGCCCATCACCCAGCTTCCTTGTCACCCGGCTCCTTGTGCCAGGCTCTCTCAGGGTCCCCCCATGCGTCATGATGTCAGTGAGGACCACCAGCTCCTCCTCACACAGCCTGCAGCCAAGTGTGGTTGAGCCCCCTTTCCCAGCACTTCCTCACCCTTCTCCCCAGACTTCCCACTGCTCTTGCTCTGTGCTGTACCCATCTATCCTTTCCATTTATTGTTCGAATTTTCCTTTGCCACTCACCAGGAAGCCAGAGAAGGGAACTCCAGTGTAGAGGAAAGAGCGTAAAGAAGGGGATACACAGCGTATCACCCTCAGGCCTCCTACATTCAGGGATACTTCCAGGCAGCTCGAAGTTGGACTTCACCTGTGCTGCACCCACAGCCCCAGTGGTTCGTGCTTGTTCTCTCACTCATAGGGCGGCTGCTCTGCCCCGTTCCCAGCTTGGATGTCTAGGCTTCTGAGGCTTCTCAACTCTCCCCTCAGTGAAGTGTGTGTGTGTGTGTGTGTGTGTGGTTAAAGAACCTGGTAAATTTGATCACCTTAAACAATAGTACATTTAAATGATAAAGCTTAATGGTACCCTGCATTCACTTGGGACTAAAGTGAGGGAATTTTTTGTCGTTTCTGCTTATTCTTCTACAATTAAAGGAATGGCTGTGGAATTTCAGGAGCCAAGACCAAGCATTGTTGTAGGGAGAGGAGTAGAGATCATTCCAGCTACTATTTTATTCATGTGGTTTTGGAGCAATTTGGGAACCGCCGAATGCTAAAACTGATACAGCCACTCTCGTTTTAGCAAGTACACGTGGCTGATCACTCCTACTATAGAAATACTTTTCCTTTAAAGACCAAGAAACAGGTTCATGATGTACTTAGATCACAGAATAGTGCTAATTCCTTTTCAATGTGTGTTTAACTGAAGCCTGGTGGCTTTTTTGGTTGGTTTGTTTGGGTTCGTTTTGCAGCAGCCTCTCCGTGTCTGTCTTTTAGACTTTCTCGCACTTCCTTCCTGTGGAGTGTCACCTGCCAGGTTCCATCAGCCCTCCAAGACACTCCGGACCTAATTTTAGTGGTAGCTCCTGGTTCCACAGAAGCACCTCCTGCCTTATCTTGTGGGGACTTAAGGGCCGGTGTCACTGTCACCCAGAGTGATTTAGTTCAGAGATCAGATCAAAGTCAGAAGAAAATACCATGAAACTGATGGGAGTGTTTGACTTCAGAGGATGTGTGTCTCCAGGACCTTTGGAGTTTCCTGTCATAATACCAGCTCTTCTTTTCATCAAAGACCATAAAGAGTAAGACAAACTCTCTCATGTCCATAGGCATCTTGCTCTCCTTATGAAGTGTTCCTTTTCGGCAGATCAGAAGGGGACCTATCAAGCCCGAATGGATGTCTTTTTCCTGAAAGACAGTAGGAACAAATGGGACATGTTTTCTCTCAGCATTTTCTTTGCTCTTGTGGCTACCACTGATCATATAGGAAAGGAAATCTTCTTAGAGGCTCTGACTTTGAAAATTATAAATGAGTCGCTACATAAGGCTGGATATTATTCATCTAATTGTATGGCATTCATATGCCCTTCCTTTGATTAATTGTCTATCTTGATGTGGTAGTAAAGATAATGATCATGATAATATTGATACTATCACATATACTATTTATTGAGCATTTACTACTGTAGTAAATATTTTGCTTATAGCTTCTTATATAATTCTGATAACAATGCTATATGGTAAAAAGAATTCATTTATTAAACACATTTACTGAGTGCCTACTATGTGCTGTATACTGCTGTTACATCATTTTTAACTTTGGAAACTGAGGCTGAGAGAGGTCAAGTAACGGTCCTAGAGTCACACAGTGAGTGACAGGGTAGGAGCTGAAGCCGAGGCCAGCACCCTCTTGACCATGCCCAAGATGAAGGAGTCTTGACTTTGCAGTTCTTCCACAGAGAAAGAGGAGAAAGCTAATACTTGCTCAAGGAAATTGCACGTAGATGTCGTCCTCTATAAAGGTGGCCACTCTAACTGGGGCCGGCCATTTCAGCAATCCTTGCCCCTCTTCCCTGAGCAAACGTTTCTCTCTCACCATCACTACAGATCTGCAGGGAGGTAGCTATAGGGTGTTGACCACAATCCTCCCACCTTCCTCATGGGTAGCCAGGCAGGCATTTGACAAGAAATAACCTTGACCATTCCATTTAGTGGACCCAGGTTAGGCAAGTGATAAAAGCCAACGGCTGTACCTACCGGGTTCACTGCAGAGTAGTAGGCCCACGCCCGACAGGCGGAGCCGGGGTTTTCTGGCCCCGATCTCCCAGTGGCGTGCCAAACGTATGTGTAACTCCTGTTTGGCTGAATAGCGTTGTCTTCCTTGAACCATTCGGGAGATTCATCTTCGTAAGTCTTTCCCTCTGATGATTTTTCATAGGCAAGCCCATGGGCATGAAGAGAGTATGGTCTGGATGCTAAATTTTTAAAATGAACCTATATAGAACAACGGTTCACAATGTGCTTAAACTTAATGAAAATCCAATGGCCATGTAACTTATGTATGTTATTTCATCTAATTTTTACAACCATCCTGTGAGATAGGGCCCAGGTAGTTTTCCCCAGAAATACCAAAACATGTTTGTTCTTAGGCTCTAAGCAAAAGTATTGACAACATCTACAAATGCAGTGATAATGGCAGGTGCCACTGGTTGGAAGGCAAAGAGGCTTGGCTGTTGCTTTCGATAAGCTCCCAGCCTCCTGGTGCAGAGAGACACAAACATGTGAATTCAAGTTAAAAATCTGGGGACAAAAGGTGCAGTAAACCCAGTGTGAGTGGTGGCAGAGGGGAGCGTCTGGGAGGAGGGCTGTTTAGGAAAGGCCAGAGGAGTTAAAGGAGGTTCCTTACAGGGGAAATGGAATTGGCCCTTACTGGGGGAGTAGGAGCTTAGCAGAGGGAGGAATAAAACCATAAGGTTATTTTCTTGAGGATTGTCAGCTTACTTGGCAAGCTGTCTTTGAGAAGCAATGTGATTATTTGTGAATTTTGGAAAATAAGCAAATCACCTTTAGCTCCTTCACCATTACAACCCTATGAAGCTTGTGGAAATTGCTCTGGTGACCTTAGCAATGCCCTGAAGGTGACTTACCTGGATAACATCATCCACTTCAGCTCTAATAACAGGGCCAAGGATGCCAAGGTGCTCTTCATACTCCCCCCGGGGGTCGCGATTGGTGAAAGTGCTATCGAAATACTTTCGAAAAACTACTTTCTTGTATGTGGTGCCTCCTGGAACATCACCGTTATCCATTTTACTGAAATGATAATGATAGTATTTCTTTACAAGAACAAATTAAAGACCACTTAAAGAATTCAGGAAATGATCTCTGTTTCTGAATATAACACCTAGCACAGGGCCTTGCTTATGCTGTTCTCTCTATCGGGAATGCTGTCTAGATACATATTTGATAAACAAATGAATGAAAATAAAAGTGACTAAAAACACAAGCCAGTTGATAGCCTGGTGCCAGCACACATATCATTTCTTAGGTAAACCCTCCTATAAGCCTTTAGACTAGGTCAAATCTTTTTATAGCGTTCCTACATTTCTTATTACTATAGTATACATAGTAAAATCCTATGGCATTCCTATAGTGTATATGGTAAATTATGTGTCATTTATTTGTGCGATTATCTATTAATATATGATTCTGCCACTATAGTAAAAGCTCCATGAAGTCAGGCGTTGTGCCCAGTGGGCTCAAAATTTTATTCCCAGTGCCTAGCAGATTATCTAGCATATGGTAGGCATTTAATAAATTTTTGATGCATTAATGAATGGACAAACATAGTCATATATTAACATAGTAGATTTTAATATCAAAAGCAGACACAGACATGAAATGGGACAGGGCCCAGGGCTTAGGGCTGGGTGACAATGGTCAGCTGACTCAGAAGGCCACCCCCATGAAGGCCACTGGGTGGATGGGTGTTTTATAATCTGAAAGTAGCCACTCTTCTCACATTTCCTTTTGCTAAATCACACTGTTCCTCATGTAGCTCACCAGCTGTTCTATATGGGACCAGAGCACATCAACTTTTTCCCACTGACGCTTAAATTTCCCGAACCTATGCAAACATACCCAAAGCTCCCCCATCAATCTCATATCCTTTGTTACACCCCATGAGCTGCCAACAGGTGACGCCATCATGGCTTCATCCCAGCCTTTCTACCCCACTAACCTCATCCTTCCAGGCTCGAAACATAACACACAGTCTCACACAACACATGAAGATGAAAACAACTTGAGTGACAGAAAAGTTGCTGTCATATCTGGAGCAGGACACAAGACTTGAAGGAATTGGCTCTGTCCCTTTCCGCCCTGGAAAGGCCCTAAATCTTACTCCCTGAGGGCTCCCTTAGGGCTTAGGGCTTTGCTTAGCAATCCTCAGCTATAGTAGTTATTTTCCTGTAATGATGGGAACTGCATTTAAATAGGAAGTCGTGGAGCAAAGTGTTTTAAACTAAGAGTTCTAATGAGGAAACGTCAAGCATCAAATTAGTGAAATACTTCCTGTGAGTTGCACCATAAGTGTGTTTGCTTGCTCTAATTACACATTGGTTTTTAATAGATTACTGTAACAGTTAGCTCTTGTAAAAGCTGTTGAATATACTTAGATAATTTAAGCAAGGTCTCCATACTATGTCCCTGAGAACATACAGTTAACTAAGCCATGCTCCTTGTCCCCCTCTCTTTCTCTATATTTTTATCTCAGAATATAGAGCCTGACCCATTATGGCTTTCTATCCTTAAGCAAAATTAAATTGAAATTACCTTTTAAAAATGTACATGGCTCCCTTAAAAACCCTCTCTTGTATATCAGGCCACCTGCAAAATTGCATCAATTCCTTCAACCCTATGGCTGAAGAGTGGCTGGAACTCTCAAATGCTAGAACTGAAGAGGACCTTGGTGGTCCCTTGTTGTAATCCATTTATTCAAAAGATGAAAGTAACAAGATCCAAGAAAGGAACTACATATCCCAGTAAGCCAGGAATGGCTTAAAGCTTTTGAAGGGTTCCTCATTGCCCTTTGGGTAAGCACCAAAATCCTTCCCATGGTTTGCACAGCCTAGTGACACCCGGTCTCTTCAGAGTCAGCCAAGCACTTTCTTACAACCCACCCTCTCCTTGAGCTCCAGGTCTTCCTCCTTCCACAGGGCCTTGCTCACACTGTTCTCTCCATCTAGAATGCTATCTAGACTCTCTCTCTAGAATTTACCTCCTGACTAGTTCACTCCTATTCATGTTCAGCTCTCAAATCAAATGCTACTTCTTCAGAATCAGATCCCCCAATTCTCATGTCGCCACACATCTGCCTTTCCTTCTGGGTCTTGATCTGGTTATAGTTCACCCTTTTACATGAGGATCTACCCATATTTACCTGCCCAGCTAGACATAGGCTCCACGAGGGCAGGAGTCATGTGTGTTTATATTCTCTTACAGTCTCGGCACTTAACACAGTGCCTAGGAGAGAACAAGCACTCATCAAAGAACAATCACTATGAAATTAGTGATTCTGTAAATCAAATTGAAACTCAAGTTTAAGTCAAGATAAATCATTATCTAATGACTACCTAAACTTGTTTTTTGTTTCTAAGCTAGTTTATATCCTTGGCCTCTGCTTTTGAATCTCATAGAATTAGACTTGAACTTCACAAAGATGCCATATACTTTATATTGGCCAGTAGACCATTTTAAAATCTTTTAGTAAACAAGGAAATTTCTGTATCACAAATCTGGACCTAAGCCAACTGCAGTGAAATCATATCAGCTAGCAGATAGCTCTGGGCCGGCTGGGCTCTGCGCTGGAGCGGGCGGGGGCGGGGGGTGGGCAGGGGCACGCATGATGGAGAAGGAGCGAGGCAGGGGCTTACGTAACTGGAGACTCTCATAGACTTCTTACAGCGATCGTTTCTACAGTGTCCAGATGCCTCCTAGAAGTGCAGTAGCTAATCTTGGAACTGACAAAGGAAATAGTATAAGCCAAGTTGCAATAGGGGAACTAATTTATACTTAGCTAGTTTGTCCAGAATTACCTACTTGGACTTTTTTTTTTTTTTTTTTTTTTTTTTTTTAGCAGTAAGTGGAAAAATTAAAAAAAAAAAAAAAGAGAGAGAGAGGAAAAAACTGGCCAAACCTTTGTGCGGATTTTGAATAATCCCAGGATATTTCTTCAGCAGCTATATAATAGTATTTCCTGTTTCCATTGTTGCTGCGGAGGTACCACTCTGCGATGCTGTCAGGGTTTCTGGAGGAGTTCACATCTGTCCGCACATCGGTTTGGTAAGGGTCATCGTAGGCTACGTGATCATATTCATGCAATTCTTCCTCACTGCTCTTTTCATTCCCGCCCGGTATGATCTCGATGTAATCTCCATCATCTCCACTGAAGCCAAGCACAACTGGTACATTAAATTCCTTTCTTATAAAAGTGTCATTTAGTGGAGGAGACGGTTGAGGAGCTGGCATCTGACCAAGGTCTGAATAAGGTAAAGTCTGATTAGATTCAGAAGTGTAGGATATCTGATCAAGGTCTAGAGGAGGTGATGTTTGCCTGAGAGCAGGAGGAAGGGTTGTCTGGCTGAGGTCCGGGGAGAGGGTCCCCTGGCCGAGGTCCGGGGAGAGGGTCCCCTGGCCGAGGTCCGGGGAGAGAGACCCCTGGCCGAGGTCCGGGGAGAGGGTCCCCTGGCCGAGGTCCGGGGAGAGGGTCCCCTGGCCGAGGTCTGGGGAGACGGCCTCCTGGCCGAGGTCCGGGGGGAGAGACCCCTGGCCGAGGTCCGGGGGGAGGGTCCCCTGGCCGAGGTCCGGGGAGACGGCCTCCTGGCCGAGGTCCGGGGGGAGGGTGCCCTGGCCGAGGTCCGGGGAGACGGCCTCCTGGCCCGAGGTCCGGGGGGAGGGTCCCCTGGCCGAGGTCCGGGGAGACGGCCTCCTGGCCGAGGTCCGGGGGGAGGGTCCCCTGGCCGAGGTCCAGGGGGAGGGTCCCCTGGCCGAGGTCCGGGGAGACGGCCTCCTGGCCGAGGTCCGGGGGGAGGGTCCCCTGGCCGAGGTCCGGGGAGACGGCCTCCTGGCCGAGGTCCGGGGGGGGAGACCCCTGGCCGAGGTCCGGGGGGAGGGTCCCCTGGCCGAGGTCCGGGGAGACGGCCTCCTGGCCGAGGTCCGGGGAGACGGCCTCCTGGCCGAGGTCCGGGGGGAGGGTCCCCTGGCCGAGGTCCGGGGGGAGGGTCCCCTGGCCGAGGTCTGGGGAGACGGCCTCCTGGCCGAGGTCCGGGGGGAGAGACCCCTGGCCGAGGTCCGGGGGGTGGGTCCCCTGGCCGAGGTCCGGGGAGACGGCCTCCTGGCCGAGGTCCGGGGGGAGGGTGCCCTGGCCGAGGTCCGGGGAGACGGCCTCCTGGCCGAGGTCCGGGGGGAGGGTCCCCTGGCCGAGGTCTGGGGAGACGGCCTCCTGGCCGAGGTCCGGGGGGAGAGACCCCTGGCCGAGGTCCGGGGGGAGGGTCCCCTGGCCGAGGTCCGGGGAGACGGCCTCCTGGCCGAGGTCCGGGGGGAGGGTGCCCTGGCCGAGGTCCGGGGAGACGGCCTCCTGGCCCAGGTCCGGGGGGAGGGTCCCCTGGCCGAGGTCCGGGGAGACGGCCTCCTGGCCGAGGTCCGGGGGGAGGGTGCCCTGGCCGAGGTCCGGGGAGACGGCCTCCTGGCCGAGGTCCGGGGGGAGGGTCCCCTGGCCGAGGTCCGGGGAGACGGCCTCCTGGCCGAGGTCCGGGGGGAGGGTGCCCTGGCCGAGGTCCGGGGAGACGGCCTCCTGGCCGAGGTCCGGGGGGAGGGTGCCCTGGCCGAGGTCCGGGGAGACGGCCTCCTGGCCGAGGTCCGGGGGGAGGGTCCCCTGGCCGAGGTCCGGGGAGACGGCCTCCTGGCCGAGGTCCGGGGGGAGGGTCACCTGGCCGAGGTCCGGGGTGAGGGACCCCCGGCCGAGGTCCGGGGAGGTGGCTTCCTGGCCGAGGTCCGGGGAGAGGGTTATCTGGTTGAGGTCTGGAGAGAGAGTCTTCAGGCTGACCTCTGGGGAAAGGTTTGTCTGACTGGATTCTGGAGTGAGGGGTGGTTGACTCAGGTCTGGAGAAATGGTTGTCCACCAGACTTCGGGCTCTAAGGAAGGGAACATTTGTCCAGTGTCAGTAGGGAAGGACTGAGTGCTTAGATCATGGTTGAACACCTGGCCAGGCTCTGGAGAAGGTTTGTGACTGGGGTTTGCAGTGAAGTGCATTTGGTCAGAGTCTTGAAGAGGGAACATTTGGTAGCGCCCTTCTGGGGGCACTGTCTGATAAATATCCAGCAAGAAGCTTGTCTGACCAGTGTTGTTTGGGAGATTCCAGTGACGGTCAGGAAGTGAGGCATTGAGGCTAAGGTTTGTAGAGGAGAATGCCTGGCTGAGGTTTGTGGGGAGAGACGTTTCATTGGACTTGTGATGTGAGTCTGGAAATGTGCTGTTGGCCTCTCCTTTTAGCGGGTGAAAGCTCCTTGGAGAGAAAAGAAAACGGTGTGCAAACTTCCTTCTTCGTGTCCGAATTAAAGCAGTGCTGTTCTTCGATCTGCTCTTTCCTCCATCTTGTCTGACTTGTGGATATTTACGTCTAATTCCAGAAAACTTTGGGTGGCCTGTCAGCTTTCCATGCTTGTTTGGAAGAGGGGTGCTCCCCACCCAGGTCCCTGATGCGTTCTGGGGGCTGGGCCGCAGGTTATTAACAGCCCTGTCTTTATCAGCCTCTGGGACTACCTCATAACTACCCTTTTCAGAAACCAAATGCCATTTCCCATTCAAAATCTTAGATGGAGTCTCTTGTTTCAAGAGTAACAGATCACTGGGAAGGTCCTCCCAGGACCCCGTTCTGGAAGAAGAGCTGCCTTGGCCTGAATGTCTCCCAGTTTTATGCACTAGAACTTCCGTCTGGGAGAATGTGTGCACGGCTTGTCTGTCCCTCCCTGCCCCGAATCCCTCAGGTTTAGCATGTCCTTGACTTCTAAATCCTTCTGCACCAAGAGGAAGCAGGCTTACCTCTGTGACGGTGGACTGTAGAGGACCCTCTGGAGGGCCCTCAGAGCAAGGGCTGGGGTGCTCTGCTGTAGGGGGGCTGAGATCTGAGTCCTCTTCTGAGCTGTGTCCCACTTGGGGACCAGCAGTGGTGGTTTCAGGAGGGGTTTTGTAAGTTTCTGCAAGGTTATTGGCAACGAGCCTGCTAACATTACTTGGGGAAGAGGAATTTGAACCGACAGCTGTATCGATATTTGGAGGTGGGAGTTCAGAGCTGTTGTCTAGGGCCAGGGCAGTAAGATTGAACTCATTTTCCTGCTGATTCAGGGATGAATTTCTGAGTGACCTAATTCCAAGTGCTAAAGCCAATCTGTCCTGTTCATCGTCAACGTCAATCTCTATACCTTGGTCTTCTGGAAAATCGCGCATTTTCCGTGTAGTCATGGCTGCTGATGCTGGAAGTTCAAATATTTCATAGTCATACTCATCATCAGGCCGTATACACTTAACATCCCTGAATCTCAGCCGCAGGTGTTCACTTCTTGGACTAGAATTCATGGTAGTTAATATCCAAGTTCCTATAGAGGGGAGACAGAATGAGGAGCCCTAAGTTCAGAAAAAGACATAAAACCCCTCGCGTCCGTCATGGCAGATAATAGCCAGTGCAGCCTGTGGACCCCTGCTGCTCTGAAAATTGTTCATCACCATTCCATGTGACAGGAGAAAAACCGAAAATCAAGTGCTTAGGACACTTCCGGGCAATCGGACATTGCTGTGACATCCCAGCATGTATCAGGGCGCTTATCTCGTCTAACAGACTATGGACCAAAAGTGTCGGTCAGTGGAGAGTAGGGAGAAAAAACTTCTTACCACAGATAGTTTGAGAGTCACTATTTCAGAATATATTTAAGAAGGAATGAATTGAGAATAAAACGGACTTTGAAAATCACATACATCTTGTTAGCTGCATATCTCATTTGGAATTGGATTTGGGGGAGGGTGGTGATGTCTACCCCCATAAACTAAGGATATTTTGGTGTTCCAAGCAATCAATAATTCACGTGGGCTCAGGGCAAGTTGGAATCTCTTTGAAATGGTATGATGTGCTGGCACACTGAGGATTTCCTGTGAAGTCCCCAACACTTACTACTTGTTGAGCACTCACTGAGGGCTAGAAATGGCACATATTGTAATTAATGATCAAAGCACCTCTGTAAGGTGTTGTTATTCTGGGTTTTTTTTTCAGGTGAATAAACCGAGGCTCAGTGAGGGCAAGGCACTGGCCCAAGGTTACACAGATATTGAGTGACAGGGCAGGATTTGAACCCAGGTCTGGTGAACTCCAAAGCCCATGTGCTTTCTAGGGCACTCTCCTGTCTCCAAGGCCAGCCTTTAAGGCGCTAGGTCTGATAGTCACTAAGCCCGGGGGGGATGGCTGTCTTAAAAAACTGGAAAGGGCATTCTGATAAAAGAAATTTTCTTTTGGGACTGAATACCCATGCTTCATCCTCAAAGTTATGCCGTGTCTTTCTGTAGATAGTGTGTTTTTACTTCTCTTTTAGCCCAGAGGACAAATGGGACTCACATTAAAGGACTAGACCCTTTGAGGTAATTAACTCCCCGAACAGAGATCATGACAAGTATTGAAAGGAAAGCCTGCAAGGGAGCAGAGAGAGACGAGCCCAGGAGTGGCGGAGCCCGCAGCAGACCTTCGGAGACCAGGGAGCCGCTCTCTGCGCCAGGGCGCTTACCAACATTATCCATGGTGACCGTCACAGATTCCCCGCTCATGGGGAAGAGGGGCAAGGTGTCCTCATGCCTCTTTCCATAGATGAAGGAGTGCCCAGTGAAGTGGATGGTCAAAACGTCATCCTGGGTTCCCACGCTGCAGAAGTGCCACTGGACGGTGTCGTCAAAGCAAAACCCTAGCGTGGGTATGCTCTCAGGCACGTAGCCATTGATGGCTGAAAGAGTCAAACCCGTTAGAACTGCAGGCTTGTGCGAACAAGAGAGCACATCTACGGCCCCTAAAACAAATGTCCTGATCTGGGTGCATCGAAGCAGCGATGGTCCGAGGTAAGCTTCACCGGGTCTGATGCACGACTGGAAGATCAGACTCGGACTTCCCCACAGCAGTGGCTCTGAACCCTGAACTTAACACTGCAGTGCATGCGGGGAGTTCCTATGTCCAGAGCTTCTCACTGGGCACTTCAGACCACTTCACGGAGCGACTTTGCAAAACTCCTGGCTCCCCCCGCATGTGCACATGCTTAGCCCGATTTGAAAATGCAGCTCCGGGTGACTGGCCATGCCTCTGCCCCTGCTGCAGAGCATTCTCCTTGCACCGTCTGTCTGTTTTTGCAGCCCAGGCACCACTGGCCAAGGCCCGCAGCCCTGCCCTTTGCCACCCCACCCCTCTCCTGCCTGCCCCACCCTGTCCAGAGCGTGCATGCAGCACGCACACTCACTCAGCAGGAGACCCAGCAGATGTGTAAGGATAACAAACCCTGGACGTCTTGCTGTCAAATGGTCACCCCGGTGTCACCCTTTATGTGATTCCATCACCAAATCCCGGGCCACAGTGCGGCTGAGAGGTCAGGGGTTCTAATCCATGCCTCCCCCCAGGCACAGCCACGCTCCAGCCACGGGACTGAGGCGCTGACAGGCACAGATGGCGCTTCGACTTACTGCTCATGATATTTGATTCATAAAACTTGGGGTCATCGCGGTTGACCTTCTCGGGATTCTCACAAAACTTGTTGATGTTGTCCTCGATGTACCAGCTCTTGTTCTCGTCAAACACAGCAAACACTGCCTGCTGTTCTGTGTCTGCTGTCCTCTGGAAGGAAAGTGCCCTGTTCAGTGACCGATGTTCCAGCTAACTCCTGGCAGCTTCAGAAACCGGAGGGGCACAGTCCCTGGGACCGCCAAAGCCACGCATGCAGGTGTTTGTGAGGGACCAGGGTGCACAAAGCCCTCGCCAACAAAGGCATTCCACAGAAGCAAATGGGGAAGGTCAGAAAACCCAGAGACTAAAACTCCCTAATAGAAAAACTCCATTTACCGTGGCAGCTGCCACTCTGTTTGTCTCTGTGACTGAATGCCGTTTCACCTGCCTGATCGACTGGATGTGCTCTGAGCAATTGCAAAGGGCGAAAGAGGAGGTTGCAACAGGGAAGCTTCACTCCTCTCTCTGCCTGTTTCCTTTCCAAGCTCAGTAAATTAGGGTCTACCAAATGTTCATTTCTGATTATTCTAGGTGTATATTTATTTTGTATGCCTTGGGATGAAACTTTTTAAACTATAGCTTAGCCCAATTGTCTGTGAATTTTAAGTTAACAACATGAGACCATTTGATCGTGAAGATCAGGTCAGAAGATCCATATCTCTGTGTAGTTTGTCTTGCTAGAGATGGGCCATTGCCGAGGTCCAGTCTCGCGAGGAGCTGTGTCTCCAGGGCATCCCTCTCACTTCTCTCTAGTGAAAATATCAAAAGTAACAAGAACTGGTGCAGAGCTTTACACTTTTACCGGGTGGGATCTCGCTGAGCCCCAGAACAACCCTGTAAGATTTTCTGGATGGGTGTTACTTGTTTCACGAACGGAAGAAATAAAGAGAGGCTAAGTGACTTGCTCAGCACACAGACAGCACCAGCAGACCTGGAATTTGAAATGATACCAAAATACGGTTTTACACTGCAGACTTGCTCTCTGCAGTGAGAGTCCAGGTGAAGACGGACAAGACAAAAAAATCACCAAAGGGATAAATGTTATCACATTCACACTCAGGAGGACTACTCATTATGGTCTGCTCTCTGGAAAAGCTCCATGGTTTGGTAAGGAGACCTAACCTGTTCCAGCCAGAAGAAATTTCTGGAATTTCCGAAAGGTTATGTCAAGGGCAAAATACCTGTATGCCTCGCTTGTCCAGGGATCTGCTCTTACAAATTAGAAGTAGTCCTATCAGCCCAGAGGCAATGTCCCTTGTGACATCCACATCGCTGTAGTACGGCCTCGTTAAGCACTGGGCATCATTATCTGTGGGCTCATCAGACTCTAGGATGTTCCATTTGTAGGTATAGGTTTCCCCTGGTTGAACTGCTTTGATCATGGTGTTACTGCCTGAAAGGAAATACAGTCAAAATCGTTTTCATTTTCAGAATTATTTCACGAAAATAAATAAATGAATAAACAAATACAAGAATACATAAATAATGTAATTGGAGCTCTCATTGCAACCGATTAGTATTGGGAAAGCAATATTCTTTTTACGTTAAGACCCACCTAAGAGAACCTGGATAGCACGCAACCGTCAGATTTTGCTCCTCTAGGGGCTGTCATGGCACTAACAAAGGACACTCTTTTGTAACCAGCAGGGTAAACGAAACCCTGCAGTGAGCAGGGTTTCCTTGTGACTTGTGGGACACCTGTTCATGCTACCCTAGCATATCTATCATCTGACTGCGCAAGTTATATTTCTGAGCAAGGAAGACAGTAGACAAAGATGGGAACCCCTCAGAGGTCATAGAGGTCAACAGATGCAAGTGAGTCAAACCTGAGGTGGAGGAAGAGTTGCCTTCATCTTCGACAGGGGAGAAGGTCACTCCATGAGGGTAAATGCTGTAGGCGCGGCTGGCCATATTTTTGAACACGATCTACAAAGTTAACTCAGTTTCGTTATTCAGGATTTAAGGTTGCTCATGACAATTCACGCAGAATGTTAACTCTGCACACTCACTTGTTGGATGGCATGTGTGTGCAAACCAGTTCTGTTTATCTGAGCAGCGATCTGTGCCCTCTCCTGACAGAAGCATTTGAGAGTTTCGCCTCACAGAGGAGTCTGATCTTGGAAGTGACGTTTTCCTCACAGTGCGCCACCCTGCCCAAGCTGGTCCCCATCTCCTCGCCTTTCAGTTTGGATCATGTCTGCCTTGGTATCTGCCCCTCCTCCTCGCTACACCGTGACCCCCTTCTCCAGCCAGCCAGATCGCCTAGAACCACTGTCCCTGAAGCCAGCTTCTTGAGGGGCGAGAGCCAGGTCCTACATTTCCAGTGAGGTATATTTACACTCACTACCAGCACCCATAAGGTATCAGAGATGAAGGAAGGGAAAGGACCAGAGAAAGGCTGCTTTCTGGTCCTTCTGTTATTTTCAAATGAACAGAAGTGGCCTTGTCTGCAGATGTCCTCTAAGCTCAGCCCCACGCAGAGGTGGAGGGAGGCTGTATTCACCCAGCACCCTGGTTAGCCTCCTTCCGCTCCAGAGAGAACGTTCACCTTATCTTATCTTCTACTTGGTTGATTGCCAAAGCGTTTGGGTCACCCCGCATCTGCGGATAATCTGCCTTCTAGAATCTGACCAAAGATTGCAACTGTCAATTCTCTGCTTCCCAGCTCTTACAAAAGGTTGATGATAAGACCTAACATTAAAGGAACACTGTCGGGAGAATACTCAGAGCTCACGGTATGCAGCCCACCGTACCTCCACCTGAGAGCGGCCTTCAGAGAACCGCATACCCAGACCACAGTGAGGAGTCGGTTTTTTCACAGTTGTGTTTACTGTGATATTCTCAGCTCTGATGAGAGACGTTTTCAAAAGACCCTACAACTTTTTAATTTATTGTACCAGTTGCAGGGATTTTGTCAAGGAATCCATCTGGTGCCTCACACAGCATCCTCTTCAAGGATCCATGGGAGAAATTCTTCTCCGGCTTCTGTGCTCCTTTTATCCTTACTGTGAATCTTGCCCTGACACGTTTCCCATTTACTTTGGCTGCTAGAAAGCTCAGGGAAAAATTTGCAAACAACCTTGTGAGATCATATGGCATATGTTTCATTATACTTACCTTATCCTCGGTTTTATTTTCTTTGACCCCATATTATTCATCCAAATTAGAGTCACTCTGTGTTTATTCCTTTATAATTTGATAAACTTTCAGATTCTTTGTATTATCAGGTAGGCTATAAGTAAGTACAAATACTAAATAAAAACTAAAAGTTACATTTGAATTAAAATTATACGGATAACTTTTTTAAAAAAAACCAAACACACCACCACTTTTAATCTCTTTTTCCTGTTTAGTCTCTTCCGTGTGGTCCTACATTTCGGCTACTTACTTTGAGCGTGTCTCTGACCTGGGCTCTGATAACAGGGCCCAGGATCCCGTTGTGTTTGCCGTCGGAATCGTCCAGGTGTTTGGTGAAGGACTCATCTTCGTACTGTCTGTAGACAACCTTCTTATAATGTTTTCCAATTTGGTTCGAGAAATTATCCAAATGCAGAGATCTGTATTTTCTTAAAGTGAAATGAAATATTTAAAAATTAACCATTTCCTCAAGTAGAGACTCTGGTAGTACAGGGAAACCCTTGTGCTTAGAAGGTCTGTTGGATTCGCTACAAAGCTAGTTTTCTAAAAAACAAAACTCTTAATATGATTTGCAAAGTCCTGATATCTCCCCTGGGGCTGGAAACTGGAAACCCCTGATCTGGCTGATCAAGTTGTAATCGTGGTTAGGAGTCGCTCCTTAGAACCCCTGCCACCCGGTGGCTAGAGCGGCCCACGGTTCCTCTGGGAGGAGGGCTGCCTGGGTGAAGGACAGGATACACTGGGAACTGCCTGAAGCCTTTCCTATCCCTTACTTCAGGGCACCCACACTGGCTTTCCAGGTACTTCCCAATCCCTGAAAGTACTCTCTCGCTCCAGAAGCTTTGCCCGTCATTACGAGTCACAGCGCGTGCTGCTGGCCTCGTCCTGTCTGTCATCCACTCCATCTAGGGGCCAGCAGGAAGGCACCGTCCCACCCACCTTCTGTCGTACAGCGAGAAATGACTTGGAAGCAGCGACGGAGACCACTTTGTTCCTTGGTCCTCCATATTCCCTTCATGTGCAAAAGCAGAAGCTCCATGACAGAATTTATCCACTTCATGCATTTATTTTGCCACAGCGCCCTGATTCCTATCTCAGCTCTGTTAGTTATTGTATAATCTTGATCAAGTTCTTGTTTTGAACATTTGAGTAGCAAATACATTCAAACGATTTTGATTAGTTGAAAACCCTCACTCACATTCTGTATCCTCTCAACCCGACCTCTCTAATTCTCCCTGCATTTTCTAGGTATTCACTTATATTAATTTCATGTGTATAATTCCAGATAATCTTCATGAAAATGTAACTTGCAAATATAAATATAGTTATCCTCTCACTCCTTTAACAAAAGGCAACTATTTATATGCTCTGTGCTATACCTTGACTTTTCTTTTGCATTTTTCAGCTTCACTGAGATATACTTGACAAATAAAAATTGTGTCTATTGGAGGTGTACAACATGATGGTATATGTGTTATTACTGCAGTCAAGTTAATTACCACTTGCACCAACTTGCCTAGTTACTGTTTTCTTTTATGTATGTGTATATGGTGAGAAAACTTAAGGTATACTGTCTCAGCAAATTTCAGTAAAGTGCAGTATACTATAGTCACCACACTACATTGGGTTTCAGATGGTTCATGTCATTACTTAGTATCCTTTCATTTCAACTCAAAGAATTCTCTTTAGCATTTTGTTGTTGTTGTTGTTGTTATTGTTGTTGTTAAGCCAGGTCTGGTGAGGTTGCATTCCCTCAGCCTCCCCTTGTCTGGGGGAATGTCTTTCTCTTGCCATTTCTTAAGGACAGCTTTGCTCTAAGTCACTTCTGTTTCTCACTTCTAGAGTTCACGTGAAGTTCTTCAAAAGGGTTTAACTAGTGTTTGGCACTAGCAAGCATTCAACTAGTGGTAGCTGCCATCATCATCATCATCATTGTTTTCCCTTGGTGAGTTTAGGGTAGTTCCAGATTGACTTTGAACAAAGCCCGACTGGAATCCAAAACATGGAGACCAGTAAACTCACGGTGTTGCACCCATGCACGTAGGACCCTATGGAACACATCTTGAACTTTTGCCCAGTGGTCAGAAGCCCCCAAACTCACTTGTCCATGTTGGCTGGTATGACAGGTGCATAGTCCCAGATGACTTCCTCCGCAGCAATGAAGTATTCCCACCTCTTCATGTGCCGCCTCTGCTCACGAGTTAGCGTCTTAGGACTCCTGGTTTTCTTTGGGCAGTTTTTAATGTCTACAGAAGCCTGCATCCCAGCTGAGTTAGTACATAAAGACAGTGGAAGAATTTGAGAGAAGAAATTAAGACTGATCAACATATGTATCTTTTTAAACTTATTATTAAACTATTAAATAATAATAGTGAAAGTCATGCTCCGGCAGCTTGGACACTTTGGTTCGGAGCTCTTTTAGTGTAGCAGAGAAAGAGGCAAGAATAAAAAGCAATGGGGAGTGGTCAGGGGTCAGGGGAAGGGCTCGGAAAGATTTCCTTTGCTTCTTTGAGAGCGGGAACATTGGTTGTTTCCCATCCCTGGAAACCTTGTGACTTAGGTCTTGTTACTTCTCATTTTTCTGTCATCTGTCTCTTTATTTGCAGAATCAAAAGTACATGCTCTATGACATTGTTAAAAATTAAGTAAGTTAATACAAAAAGCTGTTAATCTCAACAATGTTAGTTTTGTTGTTGTTTTATTATTACTTGGGACTCTATCTTCCAGGGATACTGTGGCAATTATGTTAGTTCAAATATAACTTAGACTGCTCAGTGCAAAAAGAAAATAAAATGGTCCCATGAAGTCTCTCTTTCTCATGTGTTTTGCTTATACACATTATTTTGGTAACAAAATGATTTCCTATCCTAATATCATTTACTTACATTTTAATTTCTGTTTCCAGGAACCCTCCTCCCAAGAGTTATAAAGCAACAATGTGTAACAGAACAGTCAGTTACTTTTATCTACATGGCACTACATAGACACCTGGGTGGATTTTTTTCCTCACCAGAATTCACCGATAGTCTTTAAAGCCCGTTTCTCAGCTGTTTAGATTTTATGCTTGACCCACTCCACATGCACCCATTGGGTTCTTCTCTGTGCCAGCCTCTATGCTCATCTTGTTAGGAAAGAGAATCTTTTCATGTTACAACTTTTTACACACTTTCTGTAACTCGGTGCTTCTATAAATTTGCATGTTTGTCTTGTTCTAGCCTCCGGGTCTTTTCTTTTGGCTACATATTAAATACCCCAAGAAAGACTATCTCTATGTAAGCATTTGTATCCTTCCTCCTTTTTCCTTTCAAGGAAGTAGAGACCTCTTCACCTTTTGCTTCGTTTTTAAAAATCTTTGTCAGTATCTCTATTTCCTCCATCTCCAATGAAGGCTATATGTCTAAGAGTGGAGAATGAACATTCTGTTCTCAGGGACCCACGCACATATGTCTGGAGCATATGTGGCTTGAAAAAGCAAAGGATAAGGCGGGGGTTAGTACCTGGGAAGAAAGGATTCTACATTCATAAACAAGGCTGTTGGAAGGGTTTCTTGCCTTGAAAATGTTTAGGGGTGAGAGAAGATACGGTCCACCTTCCCCCGGGGCCCATAGTCATGTTTGCAGTAGTGGATGTAGCGCTGACGAGGGTTATGGCTGAGATCTTGTGATGGTTCTGCTCCAGCACCTGGCCATTGAAGTGAATGGAGAACAGTTCTGGTCTGGAGCTCATTGCAATCAGATGCCAGCTGACTTGGTCATGGGCACAGACTGTTATATCTGAGAGGGGGAAGAGAGAGGGGGACAAAACAGGCAGTCAGCACTCTGTGATGGAAGCTCACTCACCAGGTAAGCACTGAGTAGCTTCTGCGCACCAGGCATTGCAAGGTTCTGAGGAGCAGACACTCCCATTGCAGCTCCTGCCCCAGAAAAGCAGACATCCGAGTGAAGGCCAACAAGCAGCCACAACTCATTGCAGTGAGTGGTACTACAGGGGTGAGGAGAGAGCCTAGAGGTGGGGGACATTAGTTCAGAAACAGGGATTGCCAAGAGATTAAGCCAAGAAGCGAGCCTGGTAGGTGACCAGCCATCCTGGTTTCCCAGGAGGCGGGAATTTCAGTGTTAGAGCTGGGATAGTCCTAGGCTGGCCTGGGCTTCTGGTCACTCCAGGCTCAGCTGGAGGGCGTCTCCAAAGGCGCCAGCAGGGTCAAATTCAAGGAGACGTGAAGACGACTTCAGGCAGGCATATTACGCCTGCACCCACTGGTTGGCTGTTTTAATGACAAGGCATGGACTTCCTCTGTGGGTCCCAGGCTCCCCTTAAAGTGCAGTGGGTGGGGCCTCATTGCGCTGGTCACTGGGAGCATTGCATGGATGGAGTGATGAGAGCTGAGCACAAAAGCTGAATTTCGCTCGTTTTTCACTCCCACAGTGACTGGGAAAATGCTCAGTTGCTGGGGGGGCGGTTCCAGCCCTGGCTTCTATGCTTGGCCTGGGTTTTAAGTTTCGGTTCCCCAATCACTAGGTCATGGGGCTGAGGATCAGTCTCTTATCCAGAGAGGAGCTGCGGGACTTGTCTTTCTTAGGGACAGTTATAGCAGGACAGGGACTCTGGTTTCATGGTGAGAATAAGAAGCTAAAGCCTGAGAATGAGAAGCTGAAAGGTAGGAGGCTTTGGTGGAAGCCTCTGGCCACCCCAAGGAAATGCTCCTGTTGACTTGAGCATTTAATACATCTGTATTAGCATTGACCATATTTATTCAATTTATGCTGCTCCATAAGGCTGTTTTACAAGCATTAACTTCTTTCCATTCCTACTAATGCCATTTCCCTTCCCTGACTCTCTCAGTCCCAATTAGCCTGTTATTTTCAACTATAAATTCGCAGACTCTAGTCCCTGGTCAAATTATTAATTTTTATTTTTGTGCATATGTTTTGCTTTGGGGGCTTCTACATGTTTCCAGAGATGATCCCCTCTGCTGGGACTCATGCAATTTCCTCTCTGACCATACCCCTCTAAGAAGATTAGTGGATATCCATAGTAGTGGATATGCTATTTTTACATGCAAAGAAATTCTTAAACACCCTCTCTACCAAGATACATAGTGAATCTGTTTTTGTAAGTTAGCACATGGAGACGGCTAACTGCCAAGGACCACACTAAGGTGGAGAAATTAGCTAAACTGGAACTTAGACCTCCTAAGCTGGACTTCAGCTAAGTTTCGGAACTCCAGGTCAAAGCCCACAGTCCTCGGAAAGTGGCTGTAATAACCCAGGAGGGCTGACGCAATCAAAGGAATAGAAAACAACTTAAAAGCAATGTCCACCCTTGACATCTCCACCCTTGACATGTTTTGTTTGTAGTAAGTAAAGCCATTTGTGATTTTTTTCAGATAGAACGACCCCTGAGGAACTTATGTTTTGAATGTTTTAATTAATAAAGTAATATTTTCATTCTTCCACTTTTTTCCCTCAGGGTCTTTGATTCTAAAGCATTTCTATCAGATAGAAGTTAAAAGTGGCTTAGGTGGGAGTCAGTCCTTTTTCTTAACAGGTGCTATGATTCACTTTTCCACAAGAGTCCACATGCAGACAGAAAGAGAAAACATCCTATATACCTTTGACTATTACTCATCTATGACCTTTTGAAATGCTAGTAGTGTTTTGGTATGTTGGGTATTTCTCCTAATCTCCTGTTCATCTTTACTATAAGGATCTTTACTGAATTCTTCCAACTGACCCTTTCTGCTAGGGGTTGACCTTGAACTTCTGTCCTGAAAGGCTCCCTCTGTGGATGAAGGCATGGTCACCATGCAGCAGGGACCACAGAACCCCCTGACGAAGACTAAGCTGATCCCCCGGAGGTCTTCCTGGAGATGCAGGCCGAGGGAAGCCTGCTCAGAGCACTCCGTCCAATAAGGCTGCACACTCCTTCATGTGGGTAGCTTCCGATTTGTCCGTTGTACTTGATGGTTAAGAAAAAAGAAGACAAAGTCTTGAGAACCACTGAGCTAGATTACATTACCTTTCTGAACAAGAGTGGAAAAAGAGCGAGTATGGTCAGCTTCCCAGCGCCCTGAGGAGAACAGCAGGAGGGAAGCACCAACGAGCCGAGCGTTGCTGGGCAGCGCGCAGCCCGTGCATTACCTGGCATGGTCCCGTTCACGTAGCCGTTGACCGTGTACATGACGGCCGACGACCGGCTCCAGCTCTTGCTTTCATCAAACACAGCAAACATCAGCACATGCTGCTTGTCGAACATCTTCTGCATCCCGTCCTCACTTAGGGTGCCTGGGAAAGAAATGCCGTGCTTGTCAGTGGCCTCCCAGACAGAACACGCCCCTTTGTTCTTCCTAGACAGCAAAGAGTTTAAGGCGAGCAACCAATCATAGTGGAGACAACTTGAAGACGTTCTCATTTCCAAAATAGCACCTTTCTCAAGGAATGACGACTGGGGGCTTATTAAGATCTGGCTGTCACATTACGTGTTTTCTCTGGCACGTCGTAGCCTTGAGGAATGGGGATTTAAGGGTAACTTTCTGGCACAGAGAGAAAACATTTGGTGGCTGTCAAGGCTTTAGTAAAAGTACCCATTTCCCCAGTGCCAGGCCAGTACAAAGGCATCATAGCTTGGGTGGTAAAAACATCGCTCCCCACATCTAATCCAGCCACCCTGCTTGTACATGTAATAGTGCACTAGATACCAGTTGAGAGGTTTGAGATGAATCTGTTCTCATATAAGGAAAAAATGCAGCTGAAAATAAAGGAAAGAAGAGCTTTTTTTGAGTTTTAGTTTTTGGTGCCATTCCAGGATCCTCTATATCCCAGACCATGAACACATGAATTGTGCAGTAAGTGAATTAGGAATTTGTGTGTATATAGACAGACAGTGGGCTCATCACATTATTTCCCACGGGGCAATTTTGTGTGGTCATTCATTCATTTTGATGAAAGGTGAGCTGAATTCTTTTCAGGTAAAATGAATATCCAAGCTTGCTCCTCAGGAGCCCAGCCCGTGAAGTTTCATGGAAAGTTAATTGACTGTGTTTGAAACCTTCCACCCAAAGCGTTCAGCTCGTTTATAAAACAGCAAGCTGGAATTTTGTGTGTTTGTAAACCAAATTACCAACCCAAACCTCAGATATGGTAAAGTTCTCTCCAGGTGTTGTCCGCGGAGTACAGGCTGCTCTGCACTTTCAAAAAGACTTGGCTTTGCCCTGACTGGTGTGGCTCAGTGGCTTGGGCGCTGTCCCATGAACCAAAAGGTCACGAGTTCAGTCCCTGGCCCGGGCACAGGCCTGGGTTATGGGCCAGGCCCCCAGTTGGGGTCATGCAAATGGCTGCCAATTGCTGTTTCTCTCGCACATCGATGTCCCCCCCTTCTCCTCTCTCTAAAAATAAACAAATAAATCTAAAATATAAAGGCCTTGGCTTTGAGGTAAACATTACAGATCACACGGGCAGGACCTCAGAACAAACCCTCAGACAGGGGTTCACTCAGGAGAGGCTCCAGGACTGAGGTGAAGGAGAGACCGGAAGAAACAGAGGCGGCTTCCGGGCCCTTGGGGTCCGGGGTGCGCAGCTGTCTAGTCTCTGCTCACTGCTCCCTCTGCCAGGTTTACCAAAAGGCGCTGAGATTCTCCCAAGCCTCATTCCTCAGCACTCCTCACCACTCCAACATCTTTGCTATTGTTGTTATTATTATTTACCTTTCTTACAAATAAGCAGAGGGCCAATCAGCCCAGAGTTGAAGTCCTGTATCAGATTCTCATAGGAGTAGTAGATGTATGTGAGGCATGGCGGGTCATCGCGTGTGGGCCCACTGTCCTCGCTGATGGTCCACTCGTAGGTATATTCGTGGCCTGGAGCCACAGCGTCATCCATCTTCTCGGCAGGGAATGTGTGGTCAGCGTAGGAAGCACCTGGAGAAGTAAAAGTCGTGAACACACCTGGCAGTCTGAAAGCATCACTTTGTCATCGCTCAGATTTGAAGGAACATGAGATCTCTATGGGAATATATATGCCTCTTTATAGTTAACCTTCATTATTTGGAAAGGTTCACATTATACCCACTTCTGTGTCTATGTAATTGTAAAGGCTTGAGTCCATGGTGATCTGAAGTGATTAAGAAACATTACTAGTGCATTATTTCAGGTTTAGTAAGTTAACTTTCCAGAGTCTCTAAATAATTATTATTTAAGTGTAATCAGAGAGTTGAATCACCTTTGATCAGTGAATCATCTCAGAATATGAGAATGGGTTATTTTTTCTCTGTGGTGCTTGATAAGACATCCTATATTTAACAGGCTATTAGCACGGGATGCAACTGTACTCAGATCAATTATACGTATCGTTTTGTTTTGAAGTGTAAGTTTTTCATTTCTTTTTTTCAACCACTGCCACCCTCAGTCCTGTGTTTTCACTTTATCATCTCTCCACCACCTGATTGTCCCAGCTCTGTCCCCAGGGTCTAGCTCCTACGAGCAGCGGAGTCATCTGTAGAGCACGGAATGTGTCAACCCTCCACAGTTTAGGCGGCTTGCGTCCTTGCGTCCTTCGTGTGCCCACAGACCCACCATTGACACTTTCACATGCTCCCCTTTCTCTGCCGATGAGCGGGGAGAGGGTGTATTGCAGAAACTGGTCTTCCCTGTTGAAGAGAGGCAACTGAGATTCTGCATATTAAAAAAATTACAGAAGGTTGGGTGAGGCTTTCAACAACCAAAAGAAGATGTGGCTAGAGATGGAGCGAGTGAGGTCAGGAAGGAGAGAGGTCAGCGCCGCCGAGTGGGCGGCCCCACGGGGCAGGCCGCTTCCCCACCTGCAGCGCTCCTCGGTAACTGGGGGAAAGGTGCACTGTGCTATAATCTCTTTTTGGGATGCAGCTCCCTTTGTTTGGTCAGAAGAGCTTGATAAATTCCTTGAGGTGGAAGGTGAAACCATCAGAGTGTGGATGTGGCAGACAATAAGGATTTTTTAAACATTACTAAAATGTTTTACATGGTGGATGAAGCACCAGTGGAAACCATTCTTACTGAAGTGACTCGACTTTAAAAAAAAATGCTTAATTTTCCCCTTCTCTTTCCCTTTTTTTTTCTTCTCTTCTTTATTCCTTTCTCTTTCTCCTTTTTTCCATCTTTATTAAGTTCTATATTACATAAGATAAAACCCACCGATTCTAAGTATAATATTTACTGCGGTTTGACAAATGTGTCCAGGCCTATAGCTACCATCACAATCAAGGTACAGAACATTCCCATCACTCCAAAATTTCTGTCACTTGTGCTATTCGCGGTCAATGCTTCCCCTACCCTCTCAGCCCAGACAACCACTGATCTGCTTTCTGTCACTGTATTTTGTTTTCTCATAATGTTATAAAAATGGAATAATACATTATATACCCCCTTGTGCTCGATTAGTGTTAGTATGGTATATCTTTTTTATCCTTTACTTTTTACCTGTCTTGTCTTTAATTTAAAGTGGATTGCTTGAGTTCAGCATACTGCGGGTGTGGCTTTTTATCCAACCTTACAATCTGTCTCTTATTTGTAGTGCTCTTCCCATGTGTTTTTAATATAATTATTAATATGGTTGGGTTTAAATCTACCTTCCTGCCCTTATTTTCTATTTGTCTATCTGGTCTTTGTTTCTTCTTCTTTTCTTTCCTGCCTTTTGTTGGGAAGGGGGATGGAGTATTGTTTACGGTCCCTTTTTACCCCACTGTTGACCTCGCTTTGTTTCCCACCCTGTAGACAGAACAATCCCTTAAAGCCCCAGGTCCTAGTCAGCCTTGTTCCTACTTAAAATCCTGACAATGGTTTCTTACTTCACAAAGTCCTTCACATGGACCACAAGTCCGTGTGTGTTCTACCCCTACTCCTCCCTCCATTCTCAGGGTGTGTGACTCTCTCCCGGGTGTATCAGTCACTCGGGCCCCCTTTGAGTCCCCTGGACATGCTGAGTTCCATCCTGCCTCAGGGCCTTTGCAGACTATTCCCCCCCGCCCAGAGTGCTCTCCGCCCTTTCTCCTTTTGGATAATTGTGTGCTTATCCTTCAGTGTCACCTCAAATGTAAGCTTATTGCTGCCCCAGTCTCTTCTTGTGCTATGCATTTTTTTACTTTTACAGCACTCATCCCAGTTTATAATTAAATGTGTAGTATTATATGATTAATTTTATTTTATCCTGCTAGATAGTAATCAGTTGCATCCTGCACATGCATGACCCAAGTGAGCTCCACAAAGGCTGGTGCCAGATTATGTTTGTCTTCATATCCCTGGTGCTTTTTGTGGTGCCTGGCATGGACAAGAGGTTCCATGAATGTTTATTGAAGTCTTAAGATTTCAGGTCCTGCGGGCTAGAACCAGGGTCCTCAAGTCATAGTTTATGGGTGCATTCTATTAGAATTGCATGGTATTAGAACGAATTAAATGTCAATGTTAACAATATGAAAATATTATATAAGAGTCTGGATTGCTGGTTTCTCTTAACAAAGCAAAACAGACAAAAAAACCTGATGATCTGGTGCTACTGGGCCAAACTCGTGCACAGAATTTGCCTGGACGTGGGTCCTGACTGTCTCTTCAGACAGGACACAGCTCTCTGGTCACCAGTCCCTACTGGACTATTTTTCATTGAATTACCCTCCCAGCTACTATGAGTGTCTGAGTTTGTGACCCTTGAGCTAATGAGAAGCTTAGCATGGGGTTTGTTTTTTCTTCCTTTTTCCTAAAAGATAGTTTGACATTGATAACCAATATTTACCATACACCAAACTTTCACTGCGTTGACAAGAAGGATTTGAGTGTTAAAAGAATCAGGAGCTGATGACTGTTAAAAGCTTAAATAACTTCCTGTGAGTAATATTGTTCCAGTCTAATTCAAAAAGAGAAAGGCGTTTATGAGGAAGAGCCTCTGCTAATAAACAGGAAGGATTTCTCTGGAAAGTTGCAAAATAGCTTTTGTCACAAAGCACAAATAGGACTGATAAAGAGAGCTGTGCTCTCGGTTGAACCTTGTCTATTTGACTGGGACACACGTAGCGAATTGTTGACGGGGTCTGTCTTGAGTCGAGTCGCTGGCCCTTAGTCAACGCCTCATGCTTTGTGGACTCACGAAGTTAAAAAAGAATGTTTCTGGACATGAGTCTTCTGCTGTTAAAACAGCCCAGAGAATGCCCGTTGCCTTCCCAAGCCCTCAGAAGGGCAAGGCCTGGCATTCTGTGCAGGGCACAAGAGGGCTCTGGAAGTTCTTCCTCTCTTTCTTTGGATAAATGCATGCTCATCCTTCTGATACCAGCTTAAATGTCAGCTTCCTCTTTCCCTAATCTCTGATTACATATCTCATCATATAGATATATATGTATGTATATCATCTGTTTAGGATATGAATATTTACACATATAGCAGCATTATATATTATGTATATATAACAACATTCGTCAATATTTAGTTAAGTATTTGTGAGATTATATGATTAATGATACTTTTTCCTGCTAGATTTTGAGGGGGTTTTTTTTTCTTGTCGTACCCCTGCTGTGTGAATTTGGGAAAGCTTCTTATCTCCCATTGAGCCTCAGTTTTCTCATTCATTGTTAGATAATATAATCCTTGTACTAGCAATAGTATTATTATTTTAGATGCATTATGAAGACCAGAGAATATATGGAAATGTCTGTCACCTAAGCATCACGGTGGCAGCCGGTGGTAATACACTTCAGTATTTGGGTTTTTTCCTTTCCCAGCCTCTTTCCTTATGTTTTACTTTTGATGAGATGTATCTTAAGTACTCGTGAGTCCTCTTAACACATGTGAGAAAGATCGAAGGTGGCGATGTATCTATTCTAATGGCGGTAAAATCTGGTAATTAGATTAGGTAACTACTTACAATCACCAGTAAAATTAATAAATTTCAGAGCAAGGGGAAAATAAACGTAGTCTCTACTTTCTAAGCCAGTCCTCAGTCCTTCAGTTTAGTTCATTCATTATCATTATCATCACCAACACCAACACCAACACCACCATCATACCATCATCATCATCATCATCATCATCATCTCCAACACCATCATCACCAGCATCATCACCACCATTATCGTCATGTCCTCATCACTGTCATCTCCATCACCAGCATCATCCTCATCATCACCGTCATCACCATCTATGTTCTCAGCCCTGTGCTGGGTACCAGGACACAAATGTAAAGAAGCAGCAGCGTGAGACCCTTAGGCTCACAGTCCAGTTAACAGCAGGGCACATGCTGGCACTCTAGTTGCTATAAATTTCACTTCCCAAATTCTTCTAGTGCCACTTCCGTGGAGGTGCCACGGTCAGAATACGTCATTCTTCTGTAATGAGAACCAATCACTAGAATATCTAAGAGTCACCCACAGGCTGTAACACGTGCTAGCGACAGGAGCATGAGTGGTTTTCTAATGATAGCAAAGGTGTTTTTAAATGGTCAATGTTTCATATCCAGGTTCATTTGAACACATAGTGGCTTATAAATATTCATCTAGTTGACCATAGTAAATGATGGAGAATTTCACATTCATATGTTAGTTAAATATATAAATTTCAGTGACCGAATGAGTGATTTTAAGTTTACTATATTACTAAAAAGGTGAATTTCAAGCATCTTGACACAATAGTGAACAATACAGATTTACACATGGAGGCAGGTCCTGTGATTTTGCGGAGTGAGGATTACTAATGGGGTAGTCAGGGGATAATTTTATCGATGCTTTTTTTATTTTCACTTCAAAGCATTTTATTTTACCTTTAGTCTAGAATAAAACAGGCACATTGTATCTTTGATTTTGCAACCTACGCAATATGAGATGTGAAATATAAACAGCTATTTAGAGAAAGCAATTTTATGAAAAGCACTTTTTTTGGGTAAATCTAATTTTGACTCTGCAATCAAAATAAGTTAAAACTCTTAACTGAGAAGAAGAGAAACGCACAGGAAAGACCATTGTCCTAGAACACAAAGTCCTTGTTCAGCTTCTTGTCAGAATGAATTCTTTATACAGGGTAGCCTTTCATTTTATATTTACTCAATTCTGTTCATTTCCCGCTTAGTCCTTACTCAGCTTTGTAATTTGTTTACTCTTGTCATGATGAACTAATTATTTGCCGAAAGGCTCTCAGTATTTTTTTTTCCAAATGTAAAATGGCGTGACAAGTTTGGGAAAGTGAAGTTGCATAAAGAGCGCTTTTGGTCAACTGTTTGGGTTTCCTTCATGAAATCCTCCCTTGTTACTTTTTTTTTTAACAGCTCTTTTCCTCTCCATTTAATAACCGTAGTGAATGCCTCAGTGTGTCTTTAAAGATTCAGAAGATTCTTTTAGAAGCTTTAATTAGGCAGTGGGAAAATTGGAATGCTGATGTTTTACAGGGAGCCTGGTTCCATTGCACAAGGCATGCAACTCTCTTTTGAAGGAGAGTTCACATTAATTCTCATTAATAGATTAATGGCAATTATTATCTTAGCCATTGCAGTTTGTTTCAGGTACGTATCATATACTCAAAGAAGTTTCTATGTCAGGTCCAAATATTCAGATGAAAAGTGAAAAATGTGATTGCCTATGTTATGTCAAACATTGGAACATTTTAGAAAAACCTGGAAGACTGAGTTTTCATATAGAGAATTTGGCAACACTTAGATGCAAAGAACAATCTCCAGTGGAAATTTTATTCTTTTATTTTTTTATTCAGAGAGTTGGCTTACCAGCAAAGAGCTGAATATTATAGAATCTAGGAACGTAGTACTTATAATGTAACTCACACATTTAAAATGTAAATTAAATAAAGAGATAATATAAGATGCATTTTGAAACAAACTTTTAAAAGTAATTGCATGAAGAACTTCAAAGATCTTAAGAACAGCAAAATTTGCTCGAAGGTGCAGCATTACAATCAGTCACCCAGTGTTAGTTACAGAGTTTCTGAAATGTTAGCCTCAAATCAAAACTCTTTAGGTGACAGAAAGTTTAGAAGTAATTGGGTACAGTTGTGATTGCAGCTTAAAACATATTCCTATTAATGACATTTCTAAAGGAAAGGACCTTGTAGGCCACTTTTATAAATCGCCATAGGTCCTTCTGGTTGGGAGCCACCCATCCCTGCCTGACCTGCTGCTGAGGTCGCCCACAGGCGCGCCTGGGGAGGGCGCAGCTGGAAGTAGTTGAGAAACGCTAGGCTACAACTTAGCATTTGTGTCAGATGCTGCCAATTTTTGGATGACAAGCCAGCACGAGACTTCCACACCAAGTACAGCGACACCTTTCCTGTCCAGAACCCAGATTTCCAGCCATCGCCTAATTAAAGCAGAGCCAAGAATTCAAAAGAGCCAAGGAAAGAATACTCAGGAACCAAGGCTCCCAGGCAACGCTGGCTGCAAAATGATGCACAAAATCCACGAATGACAGCTCAGGGTCTTTGCCTGGGAGCAGTACCATAGACAAGTAACATAGGCTTTCGTTTAGAATCCATGGACTCTGGGACTGCACACAGGCCCAGCATTTATGGGTACCTGTAAAGTCTCACAGTAGACTGGAAGTCGTGGTTTAGAGAGCAATTCGACTTCTGCATCCCATCCTCTGTTTCCAAACGGCCTGGGGAAGTATACCATTTAGAAAGATTTATACCCAAAGGAATTAAGAGAAAATATCTTAGACACTTGAAGTAAACCTCAGACTATCTGGGAAATGTAATTATTCAAAATGACTTACTCCTTATGTACTCAGGAAAACTGAAGTTTTTAATGCAAGTTTGGCTCGTTTTGGCATCTGAATTCTGTGGGAGAATTTTATCTCATTTAAGTATGATGACACCATCCAGGGCCAACGCCTTCATTCAGTCTAAGCTTCTGAAAACAAAATGTGATGCCTGCATTATAAATACCCGTGAAATAACCACAGCAGCACAGACAGCGTTATTGTGTGTCAACTGTGTGCCTGAAAGTTTCCTGACATTATGGCCAACCCCTGCGATAACCTCAGGTGGGAGGAATTGCTGCTCCCAGTGAGAGATATAAAGCTGAGGGTTCGTGGTGAAGGAAGCTGCCAAAGCCTGCCTCGGGCTCACCCTCAGCGTCTGGCTCTGAAGCCTGTGTTCTTTCCTGGCCGCCTTTCCTTCCAGCTGATAAGAGCAGGTTTCCCCGTCCTGGCGGGGCTCAGAGGTCAACTCCCAGATACGAGGGCTGCTGGCTTGCTTGTTTGGTTAGCTGGTCAGGTCAAGCAGCCACAGGGACAAGGACTGAGTCCTCTCGGCCTATCACTTGTCCCAGCCTCCTACCACCCGTTTCTCAGCTGTCTATGTCGGAGACAAAGAACTCCGGATTCTCATGGAGCCAGCCCAGCGTGTAGTTTAGCTCCACTCCTGGGAAAATAATTCAGACCATCGCAGGAGGCTATGCGTGAGGGTCCGTGGCAGACATGAAGAAGTTGTTTTATTTTACACAGAGGGTACAACAAGATGTGCAGACTTGTCTTTTACCAGAAGGATACTCTTTATTAGATTTGCATCTCACTTCCAAGACAGAACTTGACTTTCCCACCACATGTGTTTGCTGTCCTGAGAGCTGTGGAGCCAGGGGCAGAGAGCAGGTGACCGGTGGAGGGGGTGGGAGGGTTTGAAACCACCGCTCCCAAGTGATTGCTGGCTGCGGGGGAGTACAGGGACAGATAAACAGAAAAGGAAGAGGGACAGGGTTGCAAGGTTCACTTCCTGTGCAAACAGCCCAGCTTGGGATACAAGGTCCACAACATTACCTCCTCCCAAGTTTGAAATGGAACCTGCAGGGGACATCGTGAGGACCCTCTCCTCTGGCAGTACAGTGCTGAATTCCTGATGCGGTCACCTGGAAGCCTCGCAGGGAGGTTAAGTGGTGGCTCTATGTCACCACAGGATCTTAGGGACAGAGAGAGACAGACTCATTTGCATGCTGCCTCACCCAGAGTCTTGACACATTGGCTCTTTGAGGTGCCTGAAATTTCATAGTTAATGCTTCACTGGTTTTCCTCCAGCCAAAGAGTAAACACTGATGCAAATGTTTCCAGGGAGGGTAGTTCATTCACCTATGGTCAGTCACTTATTCTTTAGTAGAAATGAGTTTACACAGGAAATAATAAAAGTACATCCATACATTGTCAGCTAAATGTCAAACTATTTGAATACCTGAAAAACTTAATTGTGATATAATTGACATATAATGTAATTTAAACAAATTTTGATTGATTTGATTTTACCACCATAGCTAGTATTTATGAAGTGCTTATTATGTGCTAGGCATTGTTCTAAGATTCCATGACAACGAACCTGTATAAAGAAGGCATGATGATTATTTTCATCTTACAGATGACAAAGGTGAGGCACAGAGAGGTTAAGTAATTTTCCCAAAGTCACACAGTTAGTGTCTGAGCCAGGATTTGTCCCGAGTAGTCTCATTCCAGAACCTGCACTGCAAACCACTCTCCTACTCAGTTACTCTCCTCAAAGGTGTGATGGTTGGAACACAGGGGAGAAAGAAGGTGTGTGAATTATGTGAGGTCTAAAGTTATTTTTAAGTGTTATTATACTAGCATCTATTACTATTGTAATCAGTTCTTAGAACTCTACTCGGCTTATAGTGGTCTGAACATCAGCACAGTGAAAATAATTAGAACCATATCAACAACAGGTACTTACTCTCCTGTGGCTGATGTGGTCACTTTTATCTCCATCATCCTCACAATATTTGCTGTCATTGTCGTCGTTATCATCATCATCATTGTCATCATTTACGGAGGATTTTCCAGGTTCCAGGATGTTTACTAGGTACAATACCTAAACGGCCTCTTTTAATCCTCAGAGCAGTCTTAAGGAGTGAGTATAACCCTTCTCACTTTATCGATGAGGAAATCGAGGCTCCGGGATGCTGAGGCCATTGAGCCAGAAATGACACCGCTGGAATTTGAAGCTAAGTCTGCTTTCAGACCTTATGTTCTTAAGCACTTAATTCTGTCCAAAATTTGAATGCTGCTTATTGATTGCCATCTGTGCACCAGGCTGGCCCTATGTTACACTAGTCCTATGACACTATTTCAGACTACAGTTTTGGGCCAAATCCAGCCAGGTCCTTTTTCTTTGTAAGTAAAGTTTTATTGGGATGCAGCCGTGTCTGTTCACTTACATATGTATTGCCTTTAGCTGCTTTTGTACTAAAAGGTAGAGTCGAGCAAGTGCCACAGAGATCACGTGACCCGCAAAGCCAACAATATTTACTTTTGGGCTTTTCACAGAAGGGTTTGGACACCCCTGCCTTAAACCATGTTGCAATGTATGTATGATTATTCTCATTTTGCAGATGAACATACTGGAATTCAGACAGTTCAGGTAATCTGCCCATCCAGCTATTAAAGAACAAGAACCTAGCCAAAAAGAAAAAAAAGAACTGAGGTCTAAATGACACCAGAACTTTTTCATTTTCCTCTCTGAAACTTACAAAGGCAACAATTTTATGTTTACCAGTTACAGGTGGGTTCTCTGACATGTGGTCAATGATATGGTTTTAAATGTCTGACACTTCCATTAAAGAGTTGTACATTTTTCTCTTGTCAGAGGGGTAGGAAATTCCTCTTACCTTCTGAGAATTTATTGTACTTAATTCCCTGAGGATGGATGCTTAAGGGCTTGTCTGCCTTATTTTTGAAGTGAACTCTCATGGTGTCTCCAACTTCAGCATATAAAGTAGGCCCCAGAAGTCCTATTGAAGCAAAGATAAATACATCAGGATTACCAAGAACAGAGCCGTGAAACACCGTGCAGAAAATCCCACGAGTGATTGCTGTCGCTTCTCCAGGCTCTGAGGGCGACCTGCTTGTCTTCCATCTGGGCGGCTTCGCCAGCTCATTAACTCAGCATCACATGCAGTCAGGTAAGGACAGGAAGGTGGGAGTGCTCGACCCGGCTCGAAGTCAACCAAGGGACTGGGAGTGACAGTTCTGGCCACGCCCACCCAACTCGGACATGCTGTTGTAGGAGACGACCTCTGGTCTTTGGTCAAGAAAAGGAAGATGTTCATTTTCAACTGTCCAGGGTGACCTGAGGAGAATGTTTTCATAAAGGCGAATCAAACGCCTTCATGCGTGAAGGCAAACACGTGGCCGAGCTTCCCCGAGCTGCTGTTCAGCTGCTCCGCCAGCCAGGTGTCCAAAAACCTTCCCCACCCCCACCCGTGCCCAAAGACATGCTGCGGGAAGCAGTGGCCTGCCTCGGGTCCCCAGGAAGGCCGCACAGCCTGTACCCAGTTTTGTGCAGTTTTGGCTTGGAAAGACCCGCGGTAAGCAGCTACCCCAGTCCCCTTCACTCAGGTGAAGGGTGCACTGCAGAAAACAGGGCAGCCCATGGCTGCAGCTCTTCTAGAACCTTCAGGGACAAGCATGTCATGATTTTCCTTAAAAAGATGCAAAGACTCACACTAGCCATTTTAGAGCCCAAGAGAGAATTTCTGAAAATGAGCCCAGCCCCTCCCCCTGCCCAGTGCACAGGCCTCTGTCTTCAGACCCCCAGTCCTGCTGCCTAGGCCTCTCCCCCCATTAGTTACAGTAAAGCCCGGGCTCCTGCTGCAGAGGCGGGGCCCACAGCTGTTCCTGTTTTGGGCTCAGCTAGAATCACACCCACCAGGTGAGTGGAGCATGAAGTAGGAGAAGGTACCAGTGATACAGAACTAGGCTGGGGACAGGGAAGGTCATGGGGTCAAGGAGAGTGTTCAAAGCCAGATCTCCTCACTCACCATGGGAGGCTCTTTGCGTCACACTTGCCCCCTTGTATCAACTACTGTTGCTGTACAAAGATGAGTAAGACGTCATCCTTGCCCGCCAGGGGCCCACAGTTAAGCACCTTGGGGAGTTTAGGAAGAGGCTGCATAAAAAATGGGTGCTGAAATGCCTCAGAGATCAGATAAAACAAACCTGTTCATGAGCCACACAGGGAGGACAGGAAGACAATGCTTTCAGTGCGCGGGGCTTAAGCAGAAGCTATCTATCAAGGTCTACTTCTAATCAATGAGGTTGAAGGACTAAGTCACTACAAAGGTTAATCATCTCAAAGGAGTTTGCTCACACTACTCTCCTCAAGAACTGTCAATGCCTTCTTATTGTTTAAAGCATTGTCTCCAGCCTGGCACTGGTCCCTCCTGTCACTTACAGGACTCCGCACAATGGCTTACACAGCACAGACATTCAAACGTGGCAATTCAGTTAACTTGGCAAAAGCTACAAAAGGCAGGGCTCTAGACAACGGCCCAGTTTCTCCTTCTGCAGGCCTTGTGAATGTGTTTCTTGGCTCATTTTCCCTTCGCCCACCTACAACTCAATTAAATAGTTCTTAAGTATCCATTGTGTGCACTGAGGTTGGAGCCAGAGCTATGAAAATGAATAGTCTCTGTGACAGAGGACAGGAGATCCTTTAAAAACTTCCCACCCCCAACTGCAAACTTCATTTCATTAGCAGCCTCTTGGCGCCCCAAGGAAGGAAGCATCTCTTCTGCCTCAGGCTGACCCAGCTCCAGCTTCGACTCCCACCATTTCCTGTTCCTTCCCAGTCTGGCTCCACCCATTAGATGTCTTTATCCTCGCCTTTTCTATTGGATTCTCCCCTAGAGCACTTAGATATAATTTTTAAAATATCTTATTTACTTATTTTTAGAGAGAAGGGAAGGGAGGGAGAAAGAGAGGGAGAGAAACGTCGATGTGTGAGAGATGCATCAATTGGTCACCTCTTGCACACCCCCAAATGGGGACTCGGCCAGCAACCCAGGCATTTGCCCTGACTAGGAATCAACACGGTGACCCTTTGGTTTGCAGGCTGGCACCAGTCAGGATGCACTTAGATATTTTAAGTCACTATATTCCTTTTATAAAAACTCCTAAATAGCCTTAAACCTCTTATCCCCTTCCAGAATTTTCCTATCTCTCCTCCCATTTGGAGCCAAGTTTCATGAGAGTTATCTCTAACTCCCTCCTGCTTCCAGTTCCTTATCTTCCATTCCCTTCCACTCCACTCCTGTTTACCAGGGGAAGCAGCACTAAGGAAACTGGGCAAAGAGGGTTTCCGGAAGGGGGAGCGTTGAATGTCCTAGAAGTGACCAGTCAGAAGAGGCCTGGAAGAAGCCATTGGCCCTGGCATCTACACAGCCACAGGTGCCCCCTTTTGAGAGAGACTTCAGTGAGCTCCCCTTGGAGCAGGGGCCAGGGGGACAGGAAATGACACCCCGGAGAATGAACCGGACCATTCCGTATGGAAATTGGTAATGAAAGAAAGGGGAGAAAAAGGAGAGTTGGGCGGAGTCAGGGGGAGTTTTCTTCTAGCTAGAGGTTAACCTGAACAGAGCTGTGTTTAGTTTTGTTGTTAATGATTTTTGACTGAAGGGAAGGCACCAGTCAAGGAGGGAGTGGAGATAAAGGGAGATCAGAGGCGGCAGGAAAGAATGGGATGAATAGAGAGGTAGAAGGACGGGTCTGGGACGGATAACGAGCCCTCCCCTGGCTGACAGGGTTGGGTGAGTCATTGACCTGGGGACCCAGCTGGAGGACCTTCTCTCTTAATGGCCTCTATGACCCCTGTGGGAATGTGGTCCCCTGTTTCAGCTCCCCCACACCCATTTCCCTACTTCCCTTGACTAAAGAAGGGATGAGAAAAGAAGAGGTTGTTCTTTAGAAACGCCAGCTATTGTGTGTATTACCCTAAATAAAACAGGAGAATAGAAGGAAAGATAGGTGCACAAGAACCAGCCACATTGAGTTCCTTTGTTTTGGGGTGTTTTTTTTTTCTTTCTTTTTGCTTGGAAATGAACACATCATTGTTTGAAGTTCCTTTGAATGAGTCCAGAGAGTCAGACGGTCACAAAAGATGATCTGCTCTCATCAAACTGGACCATACACTCCAAAGAGGCAGGGACAAGTGTCTTGTCTACTGTGGCATCCACAGCGCCGAGTGCAACGCCCTGCCTGTAGCATGAGCTCAGTAAGAGTTTGGTAGACAAATGAAGACAAATTCAAATACTTGGGTTTTCTTAGCTTTTTGATCAAGGTTAAAAACAGCTTTCTTCATGGGCATGTGATCTATGACCTGCACAGTTACATAGGGCCCTCCGCTTGGCTTACCTGAAGTTCTAGATCGTGGTTTTTCTTTCTGAAAATATGCTTCGTACTCTCTGTAGACAATCTTCTTAAAGGAAGTTGCATAAAGAGTTGAACTGGAAATAAAATACAAAAACTACTTTGAAAGGTATATATGACATCTACTCACATTGCAGAAAAAGGGTCTCTCATGTCCCCAGACTTATACTAGGAAAGATAGTATTTTTAACTGTATTTTGGAGACCCGTAGTTTTATAAATATGAAGAATAAGTGAAGTTGATAAAAATAATTGTTGCTCTCTTCAAGAATAGCCTGCTGTGGTAATCATTCTTTCACAAGTGAAGTCTGCCCTAACTCATTCTGTCACTCAGAATCGATTTTCTAGGGAAAAATCCAAGATCGCAGTGTGAACCCAAATTTTAGGTTTCAATTTTAAACGATTAAAAATACGATCAAGCCTTTTATGAGTAAATACGTGGGCTCCTTTTCAGCTGGCCAGTCAGTAGAGCGGTAGGCTACAAGGGAGCACGTGGCACGCTGTTGACTCGGTGGGCCCTGTTTCTAGCGGAGAAGCTGGCTGTGGCTCTCGGAGTGACAGCCTTGGCGTTCGTTCTGGGAACGGACAAACAAGTGGAAACACGAGCTCTGGGAAAGTTTACGTAACATGTCCAAGGAGAAACAGCTGATAAATGGTAGAGCCAAGATCCAGAAGGGAGAAGCTGTTGGGTTCATGGTGAGGAGGTCTCAGAGGGGCACAGGGGGAGCGCTGGGACAATCTGCCCCCTTCGTCTCTGTGTCACTGGGGCTGTAGGGCTCTTGGTGTAGGACAGTTCAGAACAAGTTCTTAATTTAAACAGCCAGATGTACAGGTTAGATTTTTCACATCAAAGTACTAGAGAGGATTGACATTATTTGAAGTTCACACATAGCTAGAGCGGGTCTGGGTTATCATTCTATGGTTTTGACTCAATAATTGATACTAGAGGAATGACTATTCCCAGAATTCTGGAAACCCAGCCACAGAAATAGAGGGTAGGATGCCCAGTGATGGCTCCCTCTGGCTCACCATGCGACCCAGGCTTTTGACCTGCGTGGCTCTGCCCTCCATTTTCTGCACTGACTGTTGTCCGCGCTAACTATGGAAGAAAGAGCAACCCTCCAGGCCGAAGCTCGGCGGCCGCAGGACGGCCAGCGACCCAGGCAGTGTTCTGCCCATAGGCCGGGAAGATTAGTGTTGGACGGACTCTTATTTTCCATGGGGTTTTAGTTAATGGAGTTCCCTAACTGTGAGTGTGACATAGGTTATCGCCTTGAAATGAAATATTGAAGATGGTTTATTTTAAAAAGAGGGATTTCTTATTATTACAAGACCAAGAGAATATGTAATGCCCTCCAAAATCACCCTTACAAAGAACACTTTAAAAGGATTAAGGTTAAAACCTAAAAGACTCTAAAAATATTACAATATCTCTTGGTAGATTGCTTTGTAATTGTAAAAGAGGAACACATCTTTCACAATCATTCAACGTGTGATGTTGTTTAAAAAAAGCTGAGTCATACTAAAGGGCTTACCATTAAAACAAGTAAGGATATAACCAACTGGACATATTGGGTCCTACAATTTGTCTCATTTCTGGGAAGTCTTATTTTTAGCCTTCCAATTAGGAAAAAAATGTTTGCAACTCAAAGGCAGACTTTAATTATTTCAACCTCCTCTGAGCTACAGCTGCCTTTTATTAGTGACGCAGCCAAAAGCACCAGGGTAGACACATACCATGGAGTGATTAAGGGAAAACAATGAAGAGGCAAATGAAGTAGAAAAGGGTGAAAGAATAAAGATGTTGCATTTTTATGGACTGATAATATTTTGAAAGTCATAAGAAAAAAACAAAATTAGGACAATTGTTGTTGGATAATCTGCTCTAACAAAGTACAGGGTTATGCACGTCTTCGGTTTTAGAAGATGAAGTTAGGTAGAGAATGGAGTAAGTAATAGAAACTAGAAGTTCCATACAAATCCAAGACTTCTAAAATGCTGGAACAGGAGTTTGCAAAGGCTAGTGATGGGGTGGGTGCCTGGGGGTTTTGAATCAATCAATATTTTAAACCAACAATCAATCATACTTACAAAACTTAACAGCAAACTCTTGAAAGCAGCATCTAGCCAATCAAACTGAACATTCTCTATATCCTCAGAATGAAAAACTCTGTTACTGGAGGCAGAATTAGGAAAGAGAATGCTGTCTAAAGAAAGAGATTGTGCTCCCTAGGGAAGTGGCTGGGACGCCACACCCGCCTTACCTGTGGTTTGTGAGCTCAGGGTGGTAGTTCCAGCTGATGCCCTGAGCAGCCACATAGAACTGCCTCAGCCGCGCGGCTTCAGCCCCCGTGCTCCCCCAGCCCGCCCAGCTAGAGCCCAGGACGACCAGGACCCAGAGGCGTGGGCAGCCTGGCGACATGGTGCCTTTCCTGCTCCCACCCGCCACTACCCCCAGGACCTGGGCAGAGCCTCAGGCTCCGGTTGTGCCGCGGCCCGCGTGTGTCTGCTGTCCCAGCTGCAGTAAGCTCGGGGAGGCTGTGGGTGGCACTGTCCTCCCCTGAAGCTCCCCAAGCTCCGCAGCAGTAGCAGCAGCAGCAGCCTCTGGCTGTCCCCGCCTCTTAGGGCCTTCCTGGGGAGGGGAGAAGGGGAGGTGGCTTGGTCACTGGCCGGGGTGACAAGAGGTAATAGGGAGGGCAACCAGATTAGTGACTGTTTTACTACAGGTGAAGAAAGGCAGAGGCTCCCTTCAGCTGGGGCCGTGCCCAGGGGTTCACAAACCAGGGGCTAAACCGCACTCCTGCACTTCTGATGCTGAGCCCCTCATCCCAACCCTAAAAACTGCCCGGGCAAAGTTCACACTCGCCAGACCCCCACAATTCCCAGTGCCCTGGGACCCAGACCTTTAACCGCAGCTCTCTCCTGCTCCGAGGAAAGGGCCCTGGGCACTGAACCTGGGCCCAGAAACATGGCCCCAGGTGTGAGGAAGCCAGGGCATGAGCGCCCAACCAGGGCCCGCTGCCCGGTCCACTTCGCCAACTTCTGCCCGCGCACAGCTCTGTCTTGACAGCCGCCTGGGCCAGCGCAGGTGGCAGAGCAGGTAGGTCGGGCTTCCGGCCACCCACTGGCTATGTTTGTTGTCTTGAATAAATTACTCAGCCTCTTTGGAGCTCAGTTTTACATCTGCACTATAGAAGAGGATGGTAGTAATAGTTCACCCTGATAGGGTTGTTGGGGGATAAGAGAACACTGTGGAGCGTCTAGTTCCTGGCAGCTGGGAAGCGCTGAGCATGTGTTCCTCACGAGGATTCCACTTTTCCTGCCTCCAGAGCCCCTTATGTTTCTCGGACGATCTGTCTGTTTCACACTGCCTTACAATCTCGTTTTGCTGTTGACAGACAATATAAATGGAATTTTATGGTCTGATCATCCTGATGTCTTGTCCCAAGTTCCCGGAATCTACGTGCTTCCTAAGCCTCTGTCTTAAGACTAGTCTCCATGGATTGATCCAAGGGTCATCCAGCACCTGGTGTGAGGTCACCGTGAAGCCAGGCTCCTCAGCAGCTTCACCCTTGTACCCAGCCTTCTGTCTTGGCTCCTTTGCTGATATTATTGTACCAACTTACAATGCCCATTCTGTCTGCCCTTTCAAGTCCAGCCAGAGTCCTGCTGTCTTCTTGATCCTGGGCCCAAAGGACTTTCCCATTTTGTGAACTCCTACAATACTATCCGAATAATAGATCATAGTCATTACCCTCTAGTACTGTGGGTGGGCGTCTGTCATTTCCCCAACTACATCATAAGCTATTCAGGAGCAGGGCACCCCTCTGTGTCTATAATATCAGATTCCCCGGGGAGTTTTTACAGAATGGGATTCTGACTCCAGAGACAGCGCTGATAGCCATTGTCCTGTGTCACCTACATGAGAGATCGGCAATCAGAGGTGCTAGTGACAGTATATCAAAGAAACTTTTTAAAAGCATCGTGTCCCAAAATCTAAATTTTGGTAGTAGAATTTGGTTACTACCAAAATTCTTGCAAAATTCTTGTAAAATTCTTGTGACCTTTAATTATACTGTTTCACCCTTTTTATTTGCGTGTTTGCCTATGTGTCCTTCCATCTGCGTGACATGTTCATTGCCTCACATTTCAGAGACAAGACAGATGTGTTGTTGGCCTCTTTTTAATTGATTAGTTCCAGATAACCACTGTGTAACTTTCAACAGCCTATTTATTGAACATGTGATTTAAAGAATGTGTGAAATACATCTGCTCTTCCCTGTAGAACATTCAGGTGATAAAGGCTCTTTGTGCTTCTCGGTTTTCTTCTTGTGGGAAGGTGGTACGATATATATTTCCTGACTGATCAAAGGGTCAAACGGTAAAGGGGACAATGGTAATTGTGAATTACATTGAAGTAAACAAAGTGATGGACAGACCTTAATGAACAACACATCAAATAATAGAACATGGCATTTCAGGGGAATCGTGTTAATCACACATTTGAATATTGGTCTTTGGGGGAGAGTGACAAGCTGAGGGACGAGCTATAGTGGCCTGTGCCGTCCTGTCTTCATCCTCAGTCTTCTGCAGCGTCCCTGGAAGCCGCGGCAGCAGAGGACTTGGGGGCATCATCAACAGCCACACTGGGACCCCTGAGACCTCAGAGACATTCCCTATGGCCAAGGACCTCCTCCTGCCTTCCAAAAGAGTACAGGATGCCTCCTTTCAGCCCTAAAATAAAGAGGCACTTCTGTGTCTCCACAGTGTGGTCTTCTGGTGACTCAGATGCTCCAGGCTTTGGCTAACTCGTATTCCAGGTGACAGCTGGGTGAAGCCACAGACCCCTGCAGGCACAGTCAGTCCCGCTGCCGAGCCCGTGCTGGAGGAAGAGGGGAGGCGGAGCAGGAAGGACAGTGGGTGGAGAGTTGGGGCTTGCGGGCAGTCCCTCTGTCCTGGTCCAGAGCTAGTCTCATGGAAATGCCACATCCTCTATTCAAAGTATTTACAGAAAACTGCAGCAAATACACTCCAGTTTGTCAAGTCTAGCAGGAAACCTGATGTTCAACAATAGGAATCTCTGAGGCTGAGCGACCAGGTAAAGGACAGGTCCCTGAAAATGAACCAAAATAAATTAAAATAACTACATTTCCTTAAAAAAATTAAGCAAAAGGAAGAAAGAAAGCTCTCATCACATCTGTCCCCTGAGGTGCAATAGAACCTTCTGGATCCCAGAGTCTCTGCCACCTCGACTGCTTTCTTAGGAAAGTCACTACCCGCTGGGCTGCTTGGGAGAGAGGCGCCAGGCTGTTTTCATTTGCCCAGGGGGCCAGCACAGGGCGTTGGCCCCGCACACGTTTGTGAAGGTCTTCCAGCGGTCAAGACGTCTGATTATCAAGCCGCTGTGTCAACACCCCCAGGAGCCCCCAAAGGGCATGCTGCCTGTCCTGAAATGAGCAAGGTCTCACATGACAGCGGCCACCCTGGAGGAAGTGGAAGCCCTCCTGTGGACTCACTTTCCATTGCCGCTCCACTGCTTTGCTTGTCCCCTAGGCCAACACAGTCTCCTTTGTGGCTTGACATTTTAGCACGCGCGTAAAATTTAACTCATCATTATATGAAGAGAAGTCAAGCTTTAAAATCTTCCCCTTTCCCCCACTGTTCTATTTCCTTTAAAAACATCATCATAGTAACTTACTTTACGGACTCGGGTCAAAGGCAGCATTTGTAAAAACTCCGTACGTTCCCAGGTGGCTAAAGAACAGAAACACAATGGTGACCTTCCATATGGGGCTTGACCATATGGTCCAGTACATAGTTTCTCCAGACCACAGGTTACCGCCCACCCCTGGAATTCTGCTCTACGTGGAAAGGAGAAATGCCAACAAGATTTTCTAGGTCCCACTTAGCAGCCCTGAGAAGTTTGCCTTGCCCTTGTACCCAGGCAAAGCTGTTGTTGATGCGGTGGGTGCTGAATACCTGCTACACCCCCTGCAGGGCTGCAGGTAGGTCCCTCTCGGTGAGCGGAAACCCTTCCCAAATCCCCCGCCTTGATTCCGGATCACCTGGCAATGGTGTTCAAAGTGCAGAAACCTAAAGGTGTTTCTGAATTTTTGTAACAATCAAGAGTTCTGTTGGCACTTAGGGACAGGGACCAGGACACTGGATATCCTGATGTGCACGGGAGGCAGGAGCTGTCCTACACCCCCTACGCCGTCGGCATATACACTCAGTGTGCATGGAGGCAAAAAACCTCTGAGCCTGGGATTCCACTGCTTTACCTATCAGTAGTCGGAGGTATTTTGTATCTTCTGAAATGCAGCTGCCATGCGAGTCAAGGGAAGATTTTAACAGGTTTTCCAACTTTTTACCAGTTGTTCATCGTTTTAAAAATCAGGTTGGCAACGCCTCTGATGCTTTCTGCGCCGCTATTACGACCCCTCTGGTTTGTCAACCGCTGAGGCTGCTGCCTTCCCAGCGGTCCTGCCCCCAGGCGCCCGCAGCCGGAGCCTGCTCCCTGGCTTAGCCTTTCTGTCTGCTGTTTCTCCTTTATGCTGTAATTATGGTCCTTATTGATTTGTAAAAACACATGTAATTAGGGTATATTATCTGTGTATTTTAATTCTGGATCCAAAAGTTTTTGTCGCAAGAAGGGAGTGCTGTGTATAATCATTCTGACATGTTATGGTGAATTTAAAAAGTCAGACTAGAAAAATTAACTCAGTCACAAAACATTTTCTTCTTACCTGTGAGTGTTCAAGGGGCTTTTCCCATCATCTGAAATAAGCAAGAAGACACGAATGATTGGTTTCAAAGGAAAAACAAGGTGAAGGGGAAAGGTCATCCGTGATGAGAATTACGGGGCAAAGCCGGTAGGCAGACTGACTTTCAGATGGACTCCTCCGAAGGGGCGTGCTGGGCAGAGCCGCTGCCTGAGAGGTAGGACCTGCCTGTTGCAGGCGAGTCCTACACGCACATGACCATTACCTGGCCCAACACTGAACCACGTGACTCCAGAGCCCTCTCACCCTTCTCTTCCCTTTCGGTAACAGCCTGCCTTCCTGTGACTGGTGCCTGCCTCCCCCCTTGACTGTTTTTGGTTGTTGTTGAGATCGCTGGTTCTCGAAACCCATCCCCTTGACACTCGAGGTCCCCTGTCATTCATCCTGTGTCACACTCCCTCGGCCATCAGCTGGGCACGCTGATTACATAAACAAACCCACCTGAACACAGCTGCGACCGTCCCCCCTCCCCGGTAACACAGGTAATCGGGGCCCTGCCTTAACCCCAGCCATGAGCTCTGACGGGGACTGAAGGCTTGGCAGCAGGCCCGTCAGGCAAAGCATCTCGTGGCTAAGAAAGCTGTAAAATACCAGGTCGAATGAAGGTGAACAAGTATATTCATTAGAGGGCATCACTGAGCCTTTCATGTGGCAATGAACGTGCACTTTGAATTCGCAGAAGGATATAGTAGGTAGCATCATCCTATCTTTGACTGCAGAATCCTGGGAAGTTAAAATAAAATTGGGGCAGGACAAGAGAAAATCCCCCATCCTCACAAATAAATGTATTTATTATTAGGGATATTGGGGGTGAGTGGCTGCAGGTCCCTCTCCTTGGGTCAGAGGGTTCCCTAGAAATGTCTCCAACCTTAAGGAAGAAGTTGGGGCACTGCAGGAAGAGCGCGGTCCCAGCTGGTTGTGGGGAGCAGGCCCAGGCCGTAGGTGCTCCGGCCGCCGCCCCCTGGGAGTGCTCAGGCCAGCCCGGTGCCACGTGCCGGGGCTGCGTGGGCGTCTCTCGTTTTCCAAGGGTGTTACTCTGTGTCCCACTCGCCCACTCACAGGGGCGTACCTGGAGGAGCTTTAGAAAATGAGCCTCAGCACAGTGATAGCTCTGTGGCCAGAGGGAGCTTCAGAGCAGTTAAGACCAGGAGCTGGAACTCGTTAACTCTGTGAGGACTCCAGCAGGCACTTTTGACAGAGCCACCTCCGGTTACCTGGCCCTGAGTGTCCCCGACCCCTCTGATGCCCCGGTCGCTTTCTGTGAGGAATGATGCAGAGCCCCATTCCCTTACCAAAAGAAGGTTCTTGGGGACAAGCTAAGCCTCTGAGGCGGACAGAGAAGGGACATTCCGACCCCGAGGAAGCAGTTCCCTTCTTCTATTCCTAGGCCAGAGCTCTTTCTGTGGAAGAGTCTCATGAGCACTGTGTCCCTTCGAGTCTCCAGCCCTTGTGGTCCCTCCCCGGCTTCAGCCCTGCATTAGCTCCTCGAGTTTCCACGAGTACACACCCCTCTCTTAGCTTCTCATACCAAGGCCTGGACAGGGCGGCAGCTCTCAGCGCCTCCAGCTTCATCCCTTGCTCCCCCCCACCCACCCCCACCCCCGCCCTGCAAGCTCTGTTTGATCCAGAGGCACTGAACGCTGAACACAGTGCTTCCCCAGCGGTTTCGCCCGGGTAGGTCTTCTCGTGCCGCATTCCCTCAGCTGGACCTCTGTTTCTGCTTTTTCCCCCCTTGGCAAAGTCCCTCTTATTCTTCAAAGTTAAGCTTTAAAAGAGTCTTTCTGACCTATCAGTCTGGCTGGGACATGTCTGTTGTACGTCCTAGCACAGCACTACCCTTCAGCAGTGGCATGGATTTCCCTTGGGTATCTCCCCTGCTGGGTTATCAGGGGCCATCATTCTGGGTCCTGCTACCTAACACAGTGGGTCAGTGAATGGCTGGGGCGGAAAGGGATGGTGGGGGCAGGGGCGGAGGAGGGAAGCATGGCGCTGTTTTTATTAGCTTCAGTGAGACAGGGGTTCCCTGAACCAGAGGCCCCAGTCACCGGTGTGCATTTGGAGCGGAGGAATGCTGAAAAATTCAGATTTCCAAGCCCATTTTCAGGTGTCCTGTATGAGGATCTGTATTTGTATCAAGTTCTTCATTTCTAAGAAGGTGATTCCCGTGGGCAGTCTGCTCTCAAGATCACTTCTCCTGGCCCTGTTTTCTTCCAATGCAAATGTTTTCAGCTGTGAAGTGCTAAAGCCCTGCTTTCTCCGCCCTGCCCCCAGCACACGAAAGGAGGGAAGAAGACTCTCCTACTTACCTTTTTGTCTGCAGCGCCTCCTTAGCAGAGCCAGGAGGGTCCCGCCCATCGCCAGGCCTGTTGCCGAGGCCACTGCTCCCCCAAAGTAAGTCAGGGCTTCCTGGACAGTCAGAGACCCGTCTGCAAAGCAAAGATGCGCGGGTGAGACTTAGAAGTGTGCTGTGCAAAGGGCCCCCTCCCAGAAGGGTTCCAAGAGTTCTAAGAGGTGAGACCACGTAGGGTCACCGAAGGTCCTGGCAGCACTGGTAACCTGGAAGTCACCTTTGATCCCTAACACTTACATGTCAAACACAGTTCTCAAAGGAGTCAGGGTAAGGATGTAATAAAAGGAATTACACGATTAAATGGTAGACACAAGGAATGGAAGTTTGGGCAAATAAACTGTGGGTAATTTTTGTTGCAATCAAAAATATAGTTACAGAACAAAAACTAGTCAAGACAAGCAGTAGGGGAAAAAATGAAAAAAAAGAAGGATGAATGAAATAAAACAAACAGATGGAGCTTAGTTAAGGAAGATCTGTGGCATTTCTAGTTTTTAGATGTACATGATAAAGCTCTTCTGAGATGAATTAGGAATCTGCATAAAATAACCTTCCATTGAAAACATCTTGAAACTTCAAGATGTATTACCCCCAGATTGTAAAGAAATGAGAGGATTCATTTCACAAATCTCAGCTCTGAAAAAGGAGTGGTGATGCTCTACACGGTCATTGATTTTAATTCCCTCTGCTTTGTAGAAGGCAAGAAGATTCAGCCTGATTCATTGTGAAATGTTTATTAAATGCAGGGGAAACCCAGTGACAGAAACGGAGACCGGCCGCTGCCAGAAACACGCAGAGAAGGAACACTGGCTTTGCTGTTCTCCGTATCAGCGCGGCTCCCTAACCCGTGTCCCTACTGTACCTTGGCAGGCTGGCACAGCCGCTGACCACTGGCCTGTGTGTTGGCATGCGGTCCTCCCTGAGCCATTGAGCAGTTGCCCCTCTGGACAGTGGAAGGTGCAGGTGGATCCATAGCTGAAATGTCCCCAAGGGTTGGAGCAGTTCATCAGTATTGGCTCAGTAATATGCAGCTCAGAGCATTTGACAGCTGTCGGGGAAGAGAAAGAATGCAGTAAAAACAAACAGGCACAATGAAGGTAAAAGAGACTGGTTCCCCCTGTGACCGGGCTGGCACTGCAGCAGAGGTGACAGAGCATAAAAGGTCAGGGAGGGGATGAGGCCCTCCTGCCATTCACACCGGCACTTCCAGCATCGCACACACCGAGATGTCCCCTCAGGCAGCGAGAGCGGAGGAGCAAGTGCCTGCAACTGCTGCGGAAGGGATTTCCGGCGGGCGGGGGCGGGGGGGGGGCGGCGGGGAGGCTGTCCCGCGGATGTGTCTTACAGCACCTTCACAGGCTGAGGGCGGCGCTGTCCACCTTCCAGAAGCTGTGCACTGAGTGTCGTGGGACCCCTCCAGCCGGAAGCCCTCGGCACAGGAGAAACGGCAGGTGGCACCCACGGTGAATCCTCCGCGAGTGCCAGAGCAGTCCATGCTTCCCGACACGGGGGCAAGCAATTCTGGGCACCTGACAGCTGGAGAAGCAAATTAAGAATTAAGTCAGAATCTTTGAGTGTATTCAGAAGCTTTGTTTCGCACCAGTTTGCTCATTCACATACTCCACGAATATTTACAGACACAGCGGGTCACCTACCCCGGGACAGGAGGGGGCGGTGGGCTTACAGCAAGGGGTGCGGGCAGAAGTCGCAGCAGTGAAGTCTAGGATCGAAGCAGTCAGCTCAGAAACTCAGCTTCATCTCTCCTCCGCACACCCTCCCCTCCAGAGGCCACAGGGTCTCCCTGGGCTCCCACAACCCTGCCTGCGTGGCTGCAGCCCAGGGTTTCCCTGCTGCCCCCCTCCTGCCATGGAGGCTTCCCTTAGAGAGCCTACTGCCCCTGCAAGTCCCACGTCAGAAACCCCAGTGGTGCCTGTCCTAAGCGGCCTCCTCCATTCGGACCGCCGGGCTGTTTCCTTTCACCCGGCTCCCTGGCGCAGGAAGGTCGGGACCTCCCCTGAAGCTCCGTCAGCCCCCGGGCATTCCTGGAGCTGACCTCCTGTGTCGTTGCCTCGGGCTCTTGGCTCACACCGCCCTGCAGTGCTTTCTGCTTCCCCTGAACAAAGCCCCACATGTACTCAGGGATCCAACCGCAGGCTGCTGACCGCCGCGGCCCACGGCCTCCTCTGCACACCAGCTTTCGGTTGTAATGACGTCATGTGTCATTTCTGCCCACTTCTACTAGACCAAGAGCTTCTGAAACTTAGGAGCCACAAGTCCTCATGGGCCCCACAATTCACAAGGCAGGGTTTCCAGGGGGCAACCATTTGCCAAGTAGATGAAATGGCAACTCCTCTTGGTTCTTTTCAAACCAGGTGAGTACGTGAAATTTTAATTTACTAAGCATTTACCACAAAAGTTGCTTTTTTAGAAATCCTCACCTGAGGACTTTTTTTTACTGATTTTTTTTAAGAGAGAGGGAGAGAAACATCGATTGGTTGCCGCCCAGAATGGGGAGCGAACCCGCAACCTAGGCATGTGCCCTGACTGGAAGTCAAACCCATGACCTTTGGTTATGGGATGACACCCAACAAACTTAGTCACACCAGCCAGGGCTCAAAAGTTGCTTTTATATGTTATTGTAGTTAATATTTCTCTTAGCATTATGTCTTTTTCCCTATTAAATTCTCTCACATGAGATGATTATTTAGCAACAAACACTGGGTTATTGGCAAACTGAGTGACTATTCATTCTCTAAATTCAAGGCTATTCTGAAAGAAATGCCTTGATTGAGTAAGGCTCGTTTTGCTTAGCTTCCTTGCTTTAAAAACACCACCTCTTGAAATCCTATGTGCTACTTCATTTGACTTTTATGTGTTTGCTCTCTTGTTTTTCAGTGACAGGCCATTCACTGAAGAATTGTGTATCCTTATTGTGTGAATCCATCCCACTAGCCACAATAACGTGCTGAATTTCAGTTTAGTACTCTCCAATTTTTGAGTAATTGATAAATCCACATCCGACAGATCCATTCCATTTACCAAACAGCTATTCAACATATTTATTGGTGTCAGTCATAGACGTTAAATCACCTGCAAACATTTTCACTAAAATATCTTTTTCAGGCTCTGCCAGGACCTCACACTGAAGCCCAAGGACGTGCATAATGCCAGCTGCCTGGGAGCTGGGGCCCCGTCAGCTCTGGTCAGCACTGTGGTCCCGGGACCGGGACCAGGGCCGGGCGCAGAGCAGGGCTCCCAAAATATTTGCCAAATGCACAAGCATGTTACTGAGCAATAGGCACCGAGCCTTCTAACCAGTGCTAAAATCTCACCTGGTTTGAAAAGAACCAAGAGGAGTTGCCATTATAAAAAGTTGATTCAAGTGACCCATAGTATACAGGTGATGACTACAGTGTTTAGTCTACTTGAGGACAAGGCTTTGGTCTTGATTTTGTCAGTCCTTCCCTGCCACGGTTATAAATACAACCTCCTGTGTATGTGAAAGTCTCTGGACCCTCTTATGGAAAAATTAACTGTCCAACCACAGGCCTCTAAATAACTTGAAGAATTTAACTTTGAATTGTGTAAGGAAGCAGGTTTTCCTGTCTGAGGGGATTCATTTCTCCACCTGTCACTGTACCCCTGCTACTGGGCGGCCCCCGCGCCCCTCTGATACACCTTAGGGAGCTGCAAGCACCATGCGAAAACCAGGGTTCCGGGCCAGTGCTGAAGGGCTAAGAATCCCTGGGCTCGGGCACATAGGAAGAGAAGAACAATCTGCTAAACCTACGGAATGAATTTGGAGAATGAGGCAGAAGCAGCTATCATAGCCAGAGTTCGATCAAGGTCGTGCTTGGACCCGGGTGGCAATTCTGGGCCCCCCAGCTGGCTGGAGCTGCTGTCCACGGCCAGGGGTGGTCCTAGACGCTGGGCCCGGCTGGGGCTGCAGTGCAGGAGGCAAAGGCTCCTCTTGTAGAGAAAGGGGGTGGGGAGAGGCGCACTGGGGAGCAGGGCTGCAGAGATTCCAGACGTAACCGCCATGTGAGTTGCCTATGTGAATTAAAGCTTTAGTGAGAGAATTCTCACAGGTTTTTTTTTTATAATTGTTTGGCCTTAAAACAGAATGTGGGAAAACAGTGCTCAAGATCAATGTTGAGGGAAAAAGTGCATGGGTGAGACGTGAACTGGTGATGACCCAACGCTGTCACCCGTGACCCTTCTGGGTCCCCTGGCAGCTTGCAGTGTGTCCCTCGGACAGCAGGTGGTAGCATTTCATGTCCTCCAACCTGCAGGATTCTCGGCCGGGGCAGAGGCCCAAGAGGTCCTGCGGTCTTTCCTCCCCTCTGAATCGCGAAAACTGCCACCTGGGGGTGTGACATGACTCCCTAAAATGGCACATGACTTCAGGGGGGAATGATGCTGGTCTTTGGGTAGTAATCTAGTGCTCGTTCCACAAGAAGGAATACATTAGTATGTCAGCTGTGTTTCATATAATGCTAATAACACATTTCTATCAGTGTATTCTCTCGTCGGATCACCAGGCACTGCCATTTCCGAAGTTCATCCCAGCAGTTTTAACTGCAGCCTGAGGGGTGAAAAAGACTAAATGTGTAAGCAACTGCCCCAGGATGTAGAAACCCTGCCACTGGATGGTAGTGTAGGGTGCCGGTGAGACGCTCGCCCTAGTGGCAGACTGAGCCCTGGCTTCAGATGCCGGTGCCGTACTTCCTAGCCACGCACCCTTGGCCTGCTGTTTATTCTCTCAAAGCTTCAGTTTCTTCATCTTTAAGATGGGGATAAAAATGACCCTATTAAAGATTGTTGTGTGGATTGCATGCGGAATGCCTGGGAAATAGCTGGAACTTATCACACAAGCAATAAAGATTCCTGCTGGTCTCATTATCAATGAGCACACCGAACAATAAATTGGTGCAGTGGTACCTTCGGAAGGTAAACATGACCTGTGAATTAATTAATTCAGTAAGTTTCTCTTTCTGAGTATATACTACATGCTAGGTGCTGTGTCAGCCAGATGTTTGCGGGGAAACCAGACTGATGAGATCCAGCTCCTACTTGGGCTAACTTCACCGACTTCACCATCAGCAGGGCTTGAGCTGGAATACATTTTACCAGTAAATACTAAGCTTCAATTCGACAGATATTTGTCACGCAGCCACTTTTCTCTGTCTGGTCGCTGCAGTGGATATGAAGATGAAGAGGGTACAGGCCCCGCCCTCAAGGAGTTAATAATCCCCGCGGACATGGAGGGAGGAAAGAGGCACACAGCAGTCGGACGGAGGCACTCCCGGGGCCGGGGTGAAGTGCCCGCCACCCCCGAGGCCCACGTCAGGGGCTCGGCTGTGCCCAGGACAGGCGAGTGTAGGAACAAATGCGTGGAGAGTATGGTAGAGAAAGTGTCTGCAAGGAAGGAGAAGTCCCCATGCCATAGCTGAGCTTTCGGATTCACTAACGGTATGAATAGTGACAAGTTGCTTCACCTCTACAAACCCGTTTCCTCATCTGTAAACAGAGATGATACTGCCTTCCTGCATTATTTCAGAATTGGGGTAAACATCAAATGCCATCAGGACATGAGAACAGCTTAAAAAACTATGAAATTGTCAACTGAAGTTACTGTCATAAGAATAGGAAAGGGCGGGGAGCTCCTTTCGGCCTAGACCACCATGCTTTGGGGAGAGTGTGTTTCCTTTAGCTTAAGACAATTTTGCATGAATCCCATTCTGTAGAGTTACCTGAGAAGCCTTAAGAAAACACAGACCAGTGATCCTACCTTCACACGTTGGTGGGGGACCTGTCCAGTGTCCAGATGGAGTGCAATCCAATCTTTCTGGTCCGAATAGGGAGAACCCCTCATTACAGGTGAATTGACATGTAGACTTATAACTGGCACGTCCCAGCGGCTGGACACAGGTCATTGTTCCATTCTGAGGGCTCAGCAGAGGTGCACAGGTAATGGCTAGACGGGCTTGGCACAGGAGGAGAGAAGAGGCTGTTTTAGAACCAGGAGCCTGGACTCCGTGTGCGTCCTTAACACACACGGGCAGTGTCTGCTGAGAAGTGATTGCTGGGGCTTTATCTCCAGTTAGAGGTCATGGAACAGCACGGCTCACAGTTGATTGGTATCCTGGTGCTTTGTTTGTAAAGATAGCGGTGCCACTCATTCCAGCTGCTCACAGATGGAAGTGGAAGTGGCTGCTTCCTTAGCACTTTCTTCAGAAACAGACCTCCTGACCTTACCAGAAACAATGGCAAGCCAGTAAAATACTTTCCTCCCTCTCCAAATTTCCTTATTATTAAAGTCCTCTATAAAAGTGAAATGTAAAAATCACAGACACCAAGTGGGCATTAATAAATGACTACCTGCAAGTGACTTCCCACCACTCTCATTCTGCAGTAACCAGCCTCAAATGGCCCTGCTTGTTTACTTGCAATAAAGGGTAAATTAGATTTCATGAGTTGGTTTGTTTGCCTTGTTTTGTTTTGTTTTTGCCACCATTTATACATGTAGAGTTTGAGGTACCAGGGGACTTGCTTGGATTGGAGGTTGGCTCTGTGGGTTTTGGCAAGTCACCTAACCTCCCTGAGCCTCGATGTTGTTCTCTTTGAAATGTGGGGCATAGCGCGCCATAGGCCCCAGGATTTTTACAGGGGTCAAGAGTGAAGACACTGCACGCAAATGTTAATAGCTGGTGACATGTTGACGGCAAAAAATGAAGAGTAGGAAACACATGGTTTAGGGTATTTCTTCTTCACTGCTTGGCCCTGCGGAGCAGTGGCCAGCTTTAGACCAGAGACGGTGGCAGTGGGGCTGAGTCTGGGACCCTTCTTCGGCCGCCCACTTGAACTGCTTGAGGTTTCATGAACATTTTCTGCACCTTTCTCTTCCCTTCATCCCCTCCCCTCTTTAACTGCATTCCCCCTAATCTGATCAACTTCCCCAAAGACCTCATTACTTTCTGCCTCTTGAAAAGTCTGTGTATTCAGCGCATATGTGGGGGGGGGGGGGGGGCGCAGAAGGGGGAGGAGAGGAGAAAAATCAAGGGGCCTGTAATCTGTCAGGACAGACAGGGGGTCCCTTTCCAGCTCTCTGGCAGCCGTGCCGCCTGGCAGCTGGGGTGGGTATGCGGGGTGGGAGGGGCGCTGAAAGGGGAAATCGGTCTCTCTCAGAAGAATTACAACAGCTAGCGGGTTGCAAGCGTCCTGGTGCCTTCCTGCCCAGCCCACATGTGGGTGTTTCACTGGATGCTTACCTAGCAGCGAGAGGAGAAAGTTCAGTGAGAGTAAACAAAGAACCAAAAGCAGAAGGGAACTGGGAGGTCACAGGAAGCCACGGGGTGTGCCAGCCTCCTTGCTGTGAAACACCCACATGCAGGACAAGATGGGACAATGAATGGCGCCTGTGCCCTGCATAGCCCGGGGTGGCCCTGGAGGGTCCTGGTCACTGCGGAACCCTCTTCAGGGACCCCCAGTCCTTCCCCAAAGCTGCGTGCACTTAGTGGCATGTCCCAGCTTCCGGGTAGCCAGGAGGAGAGCTGGGGGGCAAGATCTCAAGCCCCACCCTGGTCTCTCCAGACCCAGCTCAGAGTGGGTGCCCCATGCCAGCTCCAGCGGCTTGCATGTCCCCTGTGCCTGGGGATGAAGGCCTCCCCGTGCCTCTGAGCTCGTTCATTCACTTCTTTACTGTAGCCCTCGCTTACAGTAATGTGTGCGTGCGCGTGCGTGCTTGTGTGTGAGCCGAAGAGCAAGTGGTTTCCTCTCTATTAAAAACTGCCTGCTCTCCCGCAGCTGTTGAGAGGCTATGAGAAGTGAAAGGCAAAGGCAAGTGATGCAGACTTGTCTAGTATTTCACTTCTTTAATTTTATAATTAAAGTTGTATAAGCATCATAAAAATACTAATTGCATGGAGAGAAAAGTGGGTAGGGAAAACATTGGAAGAAATCATACAAGAATGCTAAGAGTGTCTGTTTTAAGCTGGGCGTATTTTAGGGGATTTTTATTTTCTCTATTTTCTTATCTGTAGCTTTTATAAATGTAAATATTGCTTTTTTAAAAGCAGTGTATGCCATAAATATAACTAAAATTGGATACATTAGGTGGAAAAGGAAGAGGGACTATGAAAGCATACATCTGTCCTTCAGTCCCCAGCACAGATGATTACAACCAGCTGTGTGTCATATGATGTTGCCAGAGCACCTTGGCTTTGTTTTATATCAAGCATAATACAGGTGGACATGCTTATGCTGAATATGCACTATTTAAATTTTGAGCATTTTATAACCTTGTGCTTATAGATTAGTTTCTTTCCCTTTTGTCTCTTCCTTTATCCTAAGTGTATTTCTGTGACCTTACACCAGCTGGGAAGACGCTAGCAGCCAGGCGCCTGTAAATGCTGCCCCTCCCTCTTCCACCGTGAGACTTCCTAGGGGGAAAGGTCAGCCTTGGGACAGCCATCCTTGGGCTACTTTTGTCTTCTGGCTTTCTTTCCAGATGCTAGTTTTAGCCCGTGAGCACAGTTCACCTGGGTCGCAACAGCAGCCTCAGGTGTGGCTGACAGCCCCGGTAGGCAGGTGGCAGGGCCGTTCCCTCTGCCCGTTGCCCAGTGTCCTGCCCCTCAAGCCATCTGCCAGCCCCTGAAGGTAGCTGCCTGCCCAGTTACTGGGTTCGGGATGAAAGTGCTCGTAAGTTTCTCAGTCCAGTTCAGCTTTCTGGGTGCCACACCCTTACCACCTCTCAAACACAGCCCTTTAAAATAGCCTGCCGTTCCTGTCCAAGGTGCTGGGGAGGGTCCGCTTTACCTTGGCACTCCGGGAGACGGGCGCTCCAGTTCCCTGTAGCCAAACATTGCAGCTCCCTTGCTCCCACCAGGAGTAAGCCTTCGTCACAGGTGAAGCTGCAGGTGGACTGGTACCTAAAGGCACCGAAGGGGTGGACGCAGTTCACCCGGGCCTTGTCTGGAGCCTGGAGACCCTGGCACTGCAAAGCTGAGGGTGAGGAAGGGAGGGGTGAGGGAGCGAGGAAGAGTGGTACACAAGTTCTCATCAGCTCCCACCCCTTAGCCCAGTTGAGCGCCAAGAACAGGGATTCTGAATCGGGCACGTTTAACCTGGAGGATGAGGAAAGTGTCATTTAATCACAATGGCACATGACAGGTTTTATGAGGAACATGCTGAGCCATTGTTAAACATTTTGGCAATATGCGTCAATAATTTTAAAATGTCATACTTCGGGCCCAAGAATCTATGCCAAGTATGTAACCAACATGCATATGGAAAAGGTCAATTCATAGGGTTGTTTTTTTTTTATCATGACATTATTTATAAGAGCAAAATATTGAAAACAAATATAAATGCCACTAATCAGAGGCTGGAAATAAATTATGGTGGATCCATGAGAGGAATGCTGAGGGTCACTAAAAATGACCTAGTTCACCTTGAAAAGCTCTGGGAAGTGTCTAAGGGTGTGACATTAAGTCAAAAAGCAGAATGTAGGTTGTACAATCTCATCCACCACAATCTCAGTCATAGAAAATAGATGGTCACACATGGAGAGAACAGATGGGTTCTATGTATGTTAAGCCCTATCTTTAAAGTGGGACTAATGATTGTGGCCACCTCAGGGCGCTGGACTCAAGCACTCAGTCAGTACCATCTACGGGGCTTATCAGTAGTGGTAGTAGCAACGACAGCAGCAGCAGCAGCAATGTCGTTCGTGAGCAGCAGTAATGTCATGAGAGCTTTGCATCAGATGCAAGCCCCAGCTGCCAGAATAGAAGCACCGGGCAGGCTCATCGAGGGAGTCACTGAGGCCGCATCTCCGGGTGCTTCGGAGAACATCCAGCTGTCTCTCCTGCGTGGCTGGCCTGCCTGGCGACGAGAGTGGCTCCCTTTAAAGCATGTGTACGGGCTCGTGTGTCTGTGCCTTTCAGACGGCGTGGCCGCTGTGCATCTTGCTACTCTCACAGGCCCCTCCCCCAGGGCGTATGGGCACCCATTTCCCCACCGCCTCCTTTTTTTTTGTTTTGTTTTGTTTTCATTGTGGTGAAATACACATAAGGTATAATTTACCATTTACCACTTACCAGCTCAGTGGTATTAAGGGTGTTCCTAGGGACGATACCTGCCACTCATCTCTCAAACAATTTCCATTATCGTAAACTGACACTCCATGCCGGTTACGTAGTAACTACCCGTTCACCCTTTCCCCAGCCCCCGGTAATGACTGTTCTACCTTCTGTCTACAGCTCCGACTACTCTAAGTACCTCATATAAGTGGAATCCCGTGGTATTTGTCCTGTGACTGGCTTATTTCACTTAGCATAATGTTCTTGAGATTTATTCATGTTGTGGCATATGTCAGAGAGTTTTTTTTCCATTTTAAGGCAAATACTATTTCACCATATGTTTATACCACATTCTGTTTACCCATTCATCTGCTCATAGGCACTTGGGGGGCTTCCACATTTTAACTGTTATGAATGGTGTGCTGTGAACACAGGAGTGGGCTAATCTCTTCAAGACATCAATTTCAAACCGCTGCCTTATATTGCCTTATATTTAACTCAGACTCAGGAACTCACATCAATTTCCCGGAGATTCCAGTGCCAGCATCCGTAAAGCTCGCAGCGGTTTTCCGCTTGCTTTTGGACACATTAATGGACAACCACTAGTGAGGCAGGCAAATAAGGCCGGTAACAGCGCTCCTGTTTTACAGAAGACACTGAGCCTAAGGAGAGGCCGACACTTGTTGCCAGGAAATGACAGAGCTCGACTGAATGCCTAGTCTGTTATCCTTATACCATCCCTCACTGTTCTTCACGATCACTCCCCCTCCCAGCCTCTGTCTCCTTCACGCCGACCCACTCTGTACGAGTCAATCAATGCGCGGCAATGAACACGTTGTTGTGCCTAAGACAGGCTTTGCTCCCCACTTCCTCCCTAGAGCCTGGCCCAAAGGGCGTGGCACACAGTAGGTTCTTCATGAATGCCTGATGGAGAAATGGATGCTCAATGCAGCTGCTGAGGCCTTTAATAGTCTGAGTGGCACAGAAGGGATGTTTTGATGTCACAGTACCTTGACAGACAGGGGCTGGCGCTGTCCACCGTCCCACGGCAGCACAGCGAACGGTGTCAGCTCCGCTCAGCACGAAGCCCTCAGCACAGTGGAAGCTGCAGCTGGCGTTGTACCGGAATGCTCGCGAGGATGGGGAGCACTGCATGCTCCCGTGGGCGGGGCTCTCCAGGGGCGCGCAGGCAATGGCTAAGTGGGGAACATCACAGTCTGAGGCTGGGTGATGGAATGGCTCAGTTCTTTCTCAGCAGAGCTCCTGAGAGGCTCCGTCTTTCTAACCACACGGGCAGGATGTCCAGAGCCCTCGGCTCCGCTTTTCCAAGGGGAAACTGCCCAGAACACCTCCCCGTGCCCCGCCTTGCCTGGGTCACCCACCTGCCCCGCTAGTCTCAGCTTAGGCTTCCCGCACTTTAAGAGCCATCTCTGCCCACCCCATCGGGGGAGGCACTCCCCCACCGCTCCCGCGGCCCTGCTCCTGCGCTGTCTGCATGCCGGTGCGATTCGGCCTCTTGGAGCGCAGCCTCCTGCGGCCTGGAGTCAGTCACCTGCAGCTGCGTCTCAGAGCCTCGCCAAGCCTGGCACGGTGACAGTGCTCTCGAAATGTGTATTAAACAGGCTGGACTTGTAAGGAAAAAGCTGGAATAGCACAGCTTATTGTTGACACTGTATTATCTGGCCTCATTAAGTGACCCTAAGTGGCTTTGTCTCTGGAACACAGGATGCTATCCTAATCAGACTTCAGTTGCCAAGTGAGTGCTGTCCAAAGTGAGTTCCTGAGCACAATCAAGGACCGAAGGACCTTAGTTCTGATCAAGACTGGTTACTTCACGCTTTTCCTTGATAAGCATTTCATCTCCAGGCCGGCTACTCCTAGTTGTCGGTTGTTTTTTGTTTTTGTTTTTGTTTTGAGCGTAAGGCCCACCCTTACACCCTGGGCTTAGACTTCTGGTTTCCCCTGTGGGAGCCGAAGATCCTCTAGTGTTTCCCTCTCACTTCACAGAGAAGGGCAGTGAGACGCGGCGAGTTTCAGGGGCTTCCCTAGTGGCCCCTGTCGAGCCAGCAGTAGAGCTGGGCTTGCAGTCTAGGTCTCGAAGGAATTCATTAAGGCGGCCTTCCCATTCCTGCTGCCTTTTCCTCCTCTCTGCCCTGTAAGCAGAGGTGCGAGGCTCTGGCGCAGAGTCCGCCCCTGTGGTCCTGTCTGCTGCCTAGCACTGATTGCATCACAGCCTCTTTTTCAAGGCAGTGTCCCCATGCTCCTCTGTCACAGACCCCCTGCAAAGGCTACAGTGAGTAACCTCCCTTTTTTTTGTCCTAATAGCCACTGCTCTGAATCCCTGTCAAGCACAGGACGTTGTGCCACAACTTGTGTGTGCCAGCAGGGCAGGAGGGAGAAGAAGAGGCAGAACTTAAGGTTGATCGAGTGCTCCGCGCCACGCCAGGTGCTTCATGTGTGCCGTTTAATTGTGTGCTTTTTATGTACTTCATCCTCGCAAAAGCCCCTTGCTGTTCTTAGCTCGTTTCACAGATGGCAGCTGAACAGCTCGCCAGCAGCAGCGCCTCGAGGAGGCCTTGCTGGCAGTAAGAGCCCGCGATCCTTCCTCTCTGCCGAGGCTCCCTCCTGGGTGGACAGGGGCTGCTAAAGGAACGCCCCACCCTCGCAGGCAGGCGAGGGTGTGGCCCACTGGCCGGGGCCAGGGCAGCAATGTATGCACCAGCTGCGCACTGGATGGCCAGGCCGCACTTGAGTTTGCAGCTGCAGCCACGTGCAAAGGCAGCGAGGGTGTGAGCGCAGCCCTCGGCTCCTTTGTCAGGGGCGTCCAGGAGCTGACGTGGCACAGCTAGAGAGAGCAGCCAAGGCCAGAGGGAAAGGCCTGAGGAGGGAGAAAGGCCACCCCACAGTGGGGAGTCGGGCAAAAGCTCCTCGAAGTCTGGTGGGGTAGGAAGCCGTGAGGGTCAGGAGAGCCTAATGCTCTTGGTCCAGACGTGGAGTACCAGGCCGCAGGGCGGCGCGGACCTCATAAAATCACAGGCTCCGCTGGCCTCTCTTCCTTCTACCTCTATATGCCTGTCCCGGGGGGTCTCCTGGTGTCTACCTACAGGTGTGGATGCCATGCCTGTGAAATTTATGAGTGGGGTCATTCTGAGCCTACCTGAGGGGCTGCGAATTTGGGGGACGGGAAGATTTTTTAGGGTCTACTTTTAGTAAAATCAGCCTCTTCCTTTTCTAGAGCCCAGCGCTCTTTTCCTGTCGCCAGCTGCAGCCACGTGCTGAGTGGGAGGCGGAGGACAGTCAGGTCGTGGCCACGCGGGCCCGCGTCACCTGTACTCCCAGCCAGCCGTGGGTGCCGTGGACGTGGCGCATCCCTGCTGCCTGCAACTCACCTCTGCACATGGGGGGCGGGGCCGTCCACACCCCCAAGGCTGTGCACTGCACCAGCTCTGGCCCAACTAAGACAGATCCCTCTTCACAGCTGAAGCTGCAGCTGGGCCGGTGGGGGTCCGCGTCCGCAGCGTGCAGGCAGCGCACGCTGCCTTGCTCGGGAGGCCTCAGCGGGGGGCACGGGATGGCTGCAAACAAGCAGAAGCCAAGGCGTGAGCACCTGGGAAGCTGAGGACACTGCAGCAGCTGTGCACCTTCCCAAAGGGACGGGCAGGGCGATGGACTTGGTGGCTTAGACGGTACTTGCGGTAGCTGCCTGGAAAGATCCCTGCACCCTTACTTTTCATTCGCTTTTTTAGAGGAGCAAGGCAAAATGATCAAGCTAATAATACTCACCCCCGAGTCCTCATTATTGTACTTTGTTCATTTTGCAATTAACAAATGGAGAGAGGACCCTTTGTAGTATTTTTGCCTGCGAATCAAGACTCAAGCTGATTATCTCACTCTTGCAGGGACCAAATACCATGAAAATCAAGACTGGCGTTACTCTGGTTGATGCTTACTAGCAATAACTGGAATTCCTCATCTATTGTAGAGCCTCATGATATACCATTCTACTTAATGGAGAAAGCTTATCCTCCCCCATGAAGTTCAAGCTGTCAATGAAGGTGGAAGGAAAAGGACCCACGTACCTACACACTGTGGGGGCTTACTCGACCAGGCTCCGGAAGCCAAACATTCCAGCTCACGGGTCCCGTTCAGGGCGTACCCTTCGGCGCAGTGGAAGCTGCACTGTGACTTGAAGGAGAAGTCTTCCAGCGGGTGGCTGCAGTTCATGAGCACACGCTGAGGGAGCTCCGGTGCCCCACACTTCCTGACTGTGGGACAAGATACAGATCTTTTCATTGCAGGCTTAAAGGCGAGGCCAGGTTTGCTGGAAGCTGCAGCTATTTGAATAACCCCCTTAACCCTGCCCCTCTAAGCTTCTGACCCGCCTGGTCCTCTTCGTTCCTTTGTGGGGGCTGCATCTGGGGAGACACTCATTCTTTCACTGGTGTAATATTCGCCTCACTTTGCTTCCTTTACGCTGCCCTTTTGCCTCTTGGGATTTTACGGCAAACATTCTTTTTAAGGATAGAGTGGTTTTGGCCCAGCGTGTGTGTCTAGGGGCCTGAGTAGGACAGAGGGACAGGCAGTAGAGAAAGCAGGAGCCCCAGGACCAAGCTGTCAGCAGAACAGTGGCCTCACCGTATTCGCACTCCGGTCCGTGGAAGCCGGGGTGGCAGGAGCAGGTGTAGTTCCCGATGGTCTCGATGCACTCCCCTCGTTGGCTGCAGGACGCGTCCTGGCAGGAGGCTGCGCGGGCGCGGATGGGTCAGAGCCGGGCCTCCCCGGCACGCGCGGAGGAGACCTGGGCTCTTGCCCCAAGCCTCAGGCTTGGCCACTTTCGGCTAAGACCGAGCTAGTGAGATGCCAGACACACCGCAGGGCCCCCGGAGAGCCAGCCCGTCTCCTGTGAAGGGAGTCGCCTGGCCTCCGTTCAGGCTGCTTCTGTTCTGCCTAAGGAGGGACAACTGTGTGGACACAGGGACAAGCAGAGCCACCGATAGAAGTGCAGACAGAGACTCCTCTGTGTGTTACCAAACAGGCTGTGCCTTCTCAGCCAATACGTCTCAGAGTGGTTATTATTCCAGAAACCCTGTGGCAGATACCACAGTGCGGAGGCTGGGGGTCACACACAGGGTCACAGCCCTGGCTCTGCTGCCTACGGGCGCCCTTACTGTGACCTCAGGCAAGTTCCTGTGTGGGGCCTGGCCCACCCGCTGTGAGGGCCGGACCCTTCCCGCTTCGGTCTGTTTCAAATCTGTGCCCACTACCGTAGGGCAGAGGGGCCGAGGGGCCAGACGAGGTTTCTAAGGCCCGCTCTTAGAGAAGGACACACAAGTTGGTGGGAAGAGGTTTCCTAGGTCTACACAGGCCAGGCTCAGATGGCGCGGAGCCTGAGACAGCCGCCAGGCCCCCTCACCCGTGCGTGGGGCGGCAGAGGGGGCAGGCCGGCTTCCCTCCTGCAGGAGGGTCCTGGAGGGCGCAGGCGCTAGGCGGTAGGTAGGGGATTCGCATCAGAACCAATGCCCTCTGAGCGCTAAGCATATTTTTGCTGATATTTGGACTGACGGGGTCACAGCTGGGGCAAGGTCTGTGGCTAGACTGTTTTCTGGGGTGTTTCCTGTTCACTAAGCCCTGGCCACATGTCGGTCCATTTTTGGCTCCTGTGATGAGAGGAAATCCCTTGGTCAACAGAGGACTCTACTAGATCATTGATCTGTTCCCTCTCAACCCTGAGATGCTCTATGTCTCTGTAAGCCATGCAAGGTTCTGCAGAAGTTCCATGGCAATCAGAGAGTTTGGGGAAGCTGCACTGTAGCACTGGGGAGGGCTCCAAGGAAAGAGAGGACTCGGGGCAGCAGTAGCTGGACGACAGAGGCTGGGTCCTCGCTGTCCATCCTGCTTACCATGTCCCCACCGGCACCAGCAGGGCAGTGCTGCCTGCCTGGCACTCTCAGAGCTCACAGACAGCGTTCTGACCGCGGCTTCCCCAGGCTCTCAGAGCTCCAGGAACAGCCAACAGCCCATGTTCTGCATTCTACTCCATTTCAGGGTGTCGGTCAAGTTAGTAACTTCCCCAAACTCTGTTCTTCGGGATCTCCAGGAAAGAAATGAATGATGATTCAATGACTAAATCTTCTTTTGAAAGCCTGTCCTGAGATCTAACAAATCCTGACATTTACAGAATGATTCCAACATAATTTCTGGTTGCAGTGTATATGTATCTCTTTCTCATCTGTCTTCCACAGAGAGCTAATGGTTCTCTACACCTTTTTTTTTTTTTTTTTTTTTTTTTTTTTACATCGGATGGCAAAATGCCAGTCAGTGCTAGTGGAGCGGGAAGCCAACTGTACTCAGGTAAAATTGCGCCAGTCACTGACGTCTGCTGATGTTGCAGCTGAGAGAGGTCATGCCAGTAATTATGCGAGTAATTCTCAGCCTCTTTTCAGTCCTATGGCTTTTGCGCCTTTTATTGGAAAATACTCTCTTGCCAATATAGATTGTGAGGGTTAGGAGGGGAGTGGAAGCCGCGGCAGCTGAGCTCATCAGGGGCAGCAGGGAGTGTCTGGGAGGCCAGGTGCCTGAGCTAATGTCCTGCTGATGTCCATCCTGGCCTTTGAAGAAGAGCCGTTCATTCATTTACTAACAAACAAGTTACTTATAAAATGAGACCTGACTACATGACAGTGCATTTATGGATGTGTTTTCACTCAGCTAGGAGGCTTGGGTGAGGAGGAGGGAGTGGAAGGAATACTCTATCCTGTGTATTCTGTTCCTGTTGTTGAGGACTTCTGAGGGAGGGCATTTATAATCTAAAGAAATTAGAACATACAAAGGAGAATGTGGCATCTGTAAGATGGCTTATTAGGGAAGCAGCTCAGGACAGCCGACACTCTCCGCAGCCACAATGCTCATGTGCCACACAGAGCAAGAGGGGCTCCTCTGGCCGGGAGGCCACGTCGGAGAGGTGGGGTCAGCCCTGGCACTGGGCGCCCGGCTCGGGAAGGCCAAGCTTTCGTGCGTGTCTGCTTCGTCTGCAACTGGGAGAGCTGAGGCTCAAATACACTCACAGGATCTCATCTCCAGTTCCCTCTTCCCTTTCCGGGACCCCCAACCCCGTGCAAGTCCAACAGGCCTGAAGATACGTTGTCATGTTGACCTATGAAGCACGTGTGATCCTTGGTCATGCTTTCAAATTGCCAAACTGCCTCATGAGAATGTAGAGCAAAGAGCGTGGTAGCCCATGTGGCTCAAAAGGACCAACTTTGAGGCCAATGTGAATTTCAAAGCACCTCCATCATCATGAGCTTAGAACCTTGGGCAGATTCCTTAGTGGCTCTGAGCCCTTCCTTCTTCAGCAAAATGAGAGGGACGGGGGAACGTGATTGATGAGGGCCTCCTGAGGACCAACTGCCACTAAGAAAAAATGGTCTCACGACACATGAACTAACAGCAATGCCTGGGACATACTGATGTCCAGTGGGCGTTAGTTACAGCTGTGTCTCCCAGGGGTCGGGTTGAGTTCCCGCTCAACTTATGCTCTCTCTCGCTCTAGGGCATGGCGGTGCCTGAAAACCCTGGACATACCTTCTGGGAGACTAAACCTTCCCGAGCACCTATTTCATCAGCTATAGAATGAGAAGGATGGGGTGGATGACATTAAAACTTCCTTCTGGTTTCAGAAGTCCATTTTCCTGTAATCTGGATCTTCTGGTCTTCAAGGTGCTCAGTGATGCTGCTGGACAGGCAGTTTACTCTGCTTTCATGTCCCCGACTTTGTGACTCCATGTTACTGACTCAGTGACTGTATTGATGAACCAGGGGTGACATTTTTTTTTTAAACAGCAAAATGCAGAGAAGAGAGAAGACCGTACCTTTATAGCACAGCGCCCGCTTCCTCTTCATGCACGGCTCGTCATTCCACTTGCCAGGGGCCGACTGACTCTTGATGTAGATCTCCACGCAGTCCTGGTTGTTCCTCTTGTTGTTGGGCTCGTTGTCGGCCCAGTTCTCGGCCTCCTTGGTGAGAGCCTTGCCGGTTCCCACCCAGGTCCATTTGTTACCAATCTTGCGGATCCCAATCCAGTAGTAATCTTTGTCGTAAGGTAAGACATCGTTGAGGTAAGCAATCTCGCCTTTATTCTGGATGGCCACTAAATCTGTGAAGTACTGCTGGCAGAATTTCCGGGAGGCATTCCACGAGTAGCTCTTCCTGCTGTAATGATAGGTCCACGCTGCCACTCCGTCCTGGTGCATCAGTTCTACATAAACGAGAGGCAGCGCCACATGAGTCAGTGCCACGTGAGTCAGCGTGGTTGGCCACAGCATAAGGACACTTTTGTGTCATCAGGTGAGTTTCCAATCGGAAGATGAGTACCCCAACCTGACTCTTTTATGTCTAATCTAGTTGTTTTAAGGAAAAAAACTGGTTTCCATCTTTCATTTAAAAATGAGCATGAAGCCACAATAGGAAAATGTCCTGTCTGAAGATGCTTGGCATTAAAGACTTGGAATCATAAGCTACCAGGATAGGAAGGGACTTGAGAAGTCATCTAATCTTCTCCTTTTATAAATGGAGGGGACGTGGTAAGTAATTTGCCAAGTCCAAATTAAATGACACGTACAATGCCTGGATGGCTGCCTCATATCGGCATGTTCTAGCTCTTCACATGGAAACTAAGATGCTCTCTGACCCAGAGCCTACCCACTGGCCTAGCCTCGCTGCCCTCACATTTATTCTCTCGGCAAAACAGAACTCCAGCCTCCGTGCCTTTGCACATGCTCTTCCTGCTGTCCTGGCCGCTCTCCTCACCTCTGCGTGGTAAACGCTCCCCCCCAACCCCCTGCTTTCCACGACCCCCGCAGGTACTCTTGGTGTTCCTTACTCCAGGCTCCCAGTGCCTTGACTCCGCCTCTACTCCCTCCCTCTGTGTGTTGTGGTGTCTGTTTCCCTGTTAGTACGGCGTGGCCCACACCTGCTAGATGGTGAATCCTGATGTTGGTCTCTTTTTATCTCTGCATCCTTGACACTAAGCAGAGAGCTTGGTACTTAATGGGCACTCAGGAAGCACTAGTTGAATGAAACGCAGCAGGCTTGTGGCAGAGGCAGGTTAGAAATCAGATCTCTGGACTTGCAACCTGACACTCATTCCACTGCTCTTGGCTCTTTCTCTTTGATAAATTACTTCCTCCATATCTGCTTACTCACTTACCAAAATTTAAAACAGGCCTTTGAAAGAAACGTTCATGATACCAAATGAAATGCAGAATGTGCCCTTCAGACGTGCACAGGGCATGTCTGGTGACACAGGTATTGTTATCACGAGCAGCGGGAGCTCTCTGAAGCTGTGAGAGGCCAGCTCCCATGTGGAAGCGCGTGCAGCCCAAGCAATCAGGCCTGGAAACGGCTCCCTTTCCTGTTTATAAAGCCTTTTTCCTATTTAGCTCCCTCCTCCACTGCCTGCATGGGGTCAGTTTCAATTGTCCCTCCCTCCCCGACACCTTGTTAAACTATCGTTTCGCTCTAAGGCTGTGCTCTGATATCGCCAGGGCTGCATTATGATTTCCACGGACCCTGGGTGATGTCGCCTTCATAGGTCCCTTTTTCCATTATATTTACTAAAAACGGTACTTTACAACTGCACTGGCATGAAGATGACTACGTTAATATTGTATCCTACAGACATTTTCTTTGACCTACCTAGAAGGAAGTAAGTTTGAAAGAAATTAAGACATTTTTGTGGGCCCCTCAAAGTAATGTGAGCCTGTGCCTAGTGGATCCCGTGGCCCTGGAGAGACCCGTTTAAGTTTTCCCTGAAGCCTTCTCTAGCAATAGGACGGTGTTTGGTTTCTTTTCTCCTTCCAGGAATCTGGGCTTGGACAGCTTTCCCATGCCTTAGTTTCCCCCACCTGGGGAAGTGACCCTAACTACTCGCAGCCAGAGGAAGGGTGAGCATAAAAGTTACCGGAGATCAGGGCACTGAGGCAAAGAAGCTGGGCAGCTCTGAAGACTCCCTGAGACCTCCAGTTCCAGCTGGCTCTTAGGCAGCTCGCCTGAAACAAGAAAATTTCCTTTTAGTGCTCATGTGCCGTCAGCGTAATCAAAAACATTCTAGTCCATAAGCATGACACGGAGTCACAGTCCTGCCTGTGTCTTGTGTCTTGCTGCTCTGCTTCTAAGTTCTGCCCTAGCTGGACACGCCACCAATGCTGGGTCATTTCTTCATTCACTTGACAAATATGTACCAAGTAATTAGTCTACTTCAGGCCTCTAATATGCTTCTTTTATAATACGTTTTGTAATATGCATGTCAGAAAAACACTGTCATTGTTATTATGCAATAATTTCTCTTTAAGAACTGGTATGCCATCCCCAGGAGTAATAGGAAGGCACATGAAAACTCGAGCCTCACGCATTGTGCTGTGCTGCATCCTGTTGATCCATGTTTTGTCTTCATGCTTTGCCATTTCATCATATATCTAAAATATTACTCAATGTTTAGTAGATATGCATGTGTACATATATAACATTTATTCATATATATCGTATTCTCCTTGGACCTATAGCATGTGTTATTTTTCATGTGCTCCCTTCTGTTGGGATCTCATCAAATCTATTAATATTTTAAAAATCGTTTTTAGACAAATAAGTTCTCGAAATGTTTTTCTTGCTCAACTCCCTCACACTGTGCATGAAGATACCGAAGGGTGGAGAATCTAAAATAACGTATTCAAAATGACGGCAGCAGAGCCTGACTTTGAAACAAGTCCTTACCAGTTCACTCTTTTACCTTCATAAACCTCCAGGCCTCCAAATCCATGCTGCATTGTTGTAGATGACAGGGACGTGGTGTGACCACGCCTAACTGGTGTGTGGGTGCCCTCCGACCCCCGCAGCAACGTAACCACCAACGTAAAGGGAGTGTGTTTGCTTAGCAGTTGACGTTGGCTCGCTCTTCCACCCAGGTTGCTGCCCAAGCCCCTCCTCTGGGGAAACTCTGAATGCAGAGACCACGCCCCAGTGATGGGCGGTGTCGGGTGCAGGGGGCCTGCGCTGTGGACCACAGCGGGCCTAGCTAGTGGCGCAGACAGAAACCAGCACACGCCACCCAGAGAGTGGGGCTACCACTGTGGGGGAAGCCTGGTGCGTATTTCCCCCTAGGAGTTCCTGAATATCAGCTTTGCCAAGTAGACAAGCGGTGCGTGTCCTCAAGAGCGGGGCAGTCATCGGCTGGCCTGAGGGGGACCTGCGCTCACACGCTGGGAGTACATAATGTTGAGTGACAGTGCTGGTTGTTGGCACGGGACGCACGCTGACACTGCCTGACTGCGGACTCGGTTGCGCCGCGTTCCCTCTGGGTTGTGTCATGTTACCAGCTAGTATTAGTGCCACATTTCTGTCCAGTGCCTGCACGGAACCATGCCTGATGCTGCGCCAGAGGTCTTTAAACGAGGATGAGGCTGACTTCCCAAGGGGCGCACAAGCAAGGGGTGAAGAAATGGGTGTTCAGATTTCCAGTTTCCAAAAGCATTCTTTCCTAAGATCACACCATTCTTCCATTCTACTCATTTCACTCCTATTTATTATGGGTCCTTGTCATCAAGCAACCATACAAGAAAAAAACCAAAAACGTTGGTGTGACAGAGACAATCTGAAATATTGGTACAGGTATTGAGGCCTTGACTGCTTCAAAGGATCGTGTGACAAATCCTCCTCAAGCCCAGCGGCTTCCATTTCTCTCCTTTCATCAACTTGGATGGAGGGCCAATTAAGTTGTCAGATGCTAAAGCACTGATTCAACGTTGATGATAAGTCACTATGTAATTTTGGGCATATAGCTGGGAAGGAGTTCAAAGAATTGACATTGCTATAATAAAACTTCCATTCCCTTTTACTTATTCTTGTGAATGCGGGTTCTCAATGTTTCAATCCTTAAAAGTGAAACATTGGAATAGGGTTGATGCTGAATGTGTCTGCTTGCTGATAAATAATATTCACGCACCCTTACATGAACAAATGGGGGAAGCCCCTCTTCTCATTTAGGGATTCCTCTTCAATAGCATTTTAAATATACAAGTTTAAGTTATGTAAATGTGTAGTATGTTTATGCCATTTAATTATTTACTAAAAGTAATTGTCACACTGACACAATCAAAAAGGAAAACTTTAACACATAGAGAGATAGTTTCAGAAAATTGAATCTTTTCAATGGGGGAGGGCAGGGAGAGCTAGTTTTGAACATTTTGAGGTTTTAAGGACTGGGAGGCGCTTCTGATCAAGGCACAGCATCCAGGAAAGGAAAGTGCAAGTCACTGTGCAACCCTGCTTTATCTGACCGTACTTCCCCGTTTCCTAAAATCACCAAATACCCAGAATCACCTCTCAGAGACTATTTCAGGGGAGAGCTGCTGGAGGCCATGGAGACCACTGCCAAATCAATTTAACCTTCCGCCAACCTTCGGCGGCAGGCCCTAGGACCAGGGATGCTCGGGGGACACCACCTCTGCCCACCACTGAGAGCCGGTGGGTTCGGAGGCGTTGCCCACGCTTGCTCACCTGGATGTATTGTATGCTGGGCTAACACAGTGATTCGTGTTCTCACAGAGCTCATGAACTCCTCTGAAAGTGCAGTAAAACCCATAGTTAGGCATTTAAAAAATGCAGTTTTTTAAGATGATTTCAGAAGGTTCATGGACCCACAAAGTCTGTCCATGTTTAATGGACCCCGGGTCAAATCTCTGTGTTAACTGTAAGGCAGCACCTTGACCCACTGGCAACTGGCAAGGGTTTTGTGTGTGGGAGCAGAAGATGGATGACACTTACACATCTTCCTTGAGCGACGCTTCCTGGGAAGCTCCCTTGGGGTGCACAGGCACCCTCCCTCCTGCACCTGCTGCCTACAGCGTCGTCCCTAGGACCGTGCTGGCGCTCGGCTGTGGAGGCGCTCAGGACGCTGCCCTCTCTGGGCAAAGCGGCTGTCGCCTCTGCTCACCTCTCCTTTAATGATCTCTGGCCACCCACTTCCAACTGGGCGTCGCCAGGAAGGAACCCTAGACTCGGTCCCTAGAATAGCATCCTATACCCATGTGGCCATCACTAAGGCTGCTTTGCTCCTGGGTCATCTTTAGTTTTATTTCTCCAAAGAACTGAAAGTCATGGGGGGAGGGGCGGAGAGAAAGTGGAGGGAGCCCGTGTTTTTCCCTGGACCTCACTTTGCATAGGAAGAGGTGCTGGGTGCCAGCAGGAGTCCCAGGCCATCAGCGCCCAGGCACCTTACAACGTTGGCAGGAATGCTACCATGCAAAGATATTCCATTCTACCTACATCATAGATCAGAGCTTTGCACTTTTAGAAGCAGAACCAAACAATGCCCCTCCCAATACCGTTTATGTTCTGCCCAGATATTGCCCAATGTCTCATCTTGTCTGCAGCTCAGCTTTCTTAACGTCCTTCCCTCCCCTCTGCTCTCCAGCTGCTGCCCGAGCAGCCTGCGAAGCTGCCCTTCTAACTGTGCCTCTGGCATCCACATCACCAACCCAGTGAAGATGCCGCCCTTTTCTCCTTTGACCTTTCTGCAGCAGCACATACCGCTGAACACGTCCTTTTGCTTAAAATGCTTCCCTTCATTCTTTTCATTCTCCTCTAACATCATGAGCAACGTTTCTGAGTTTCCTCTGACTTTATCTCCACCCCGCCCCCCTCACTTGCAGAGACAGAGATGGCTCTGGGCTCCTGTCTCCAGGACCCAGTTCCTTGTCACTCAGCCGTTTTCCCAGGACCTCCTTAGAGTCGTCGTTTGCCGGCGGCCCCGGTCAGCATCTCCACCCCCAGCTTCCCTCCTGGGCACGTGGCCTGCATTCCACACGCAAAGCAAATGCCGGAGAGGCTAGCTGGAGGGGCCGCTGGCCACGGATCCTTGTGGGCACGGACTGGGACTTCTCTGCAGGCCTGAGTGCCAGCCGGAGAGAGCAGTGCCTAGCACTGAAGGATAGTCTCCAGAGGGACGAAGGGAAGGAGGAAGGCTAGTTGGCGGGGAATGGCTGAAACTAAGGTGGCAGAGTGTGTGCTGAATAGGAAGATGTCAGGAAAGGGTGTGGTAACTCTAAGTACATTATGATTTAAAACAGGGGTCGTATCAAATTTAAAAGTGTATTACAATTCAGTAGACAAGCATAAGTAGGCTGTGAAAAAAACTTAGGTCCTTGGCACTTTGTCTCATCCTATTTGAATGTGAGAGAAACGTGGGACGTGATGGCTCGTATCGTATGTGAGAGGACAGAGGAGCAGGACTCACTCTCTTAATCCCATTCTGGTGGCCTAGAGGGATAAGTGCAGCAGATGGTGGGGACTGTAACCATAGGCGCTGTGTCTCAGGAGAGCCTGAGAGGGCATCAGATAGCAGCGGCTCGTGGAAGTAGCAAGGGAGGAGAACACAAATTTCAATCCAAATTCGCTCTGCAGTGGATGTGACTCTCTGAGGGCCTCCATGAGCCACTGGGGCTCACAGAAGGGGTGCGTCTTTTCCCCAAGCTCCATAGCCCTCCTGCCCATAGAGACCCTGAGGTCCTCCATCAAATGGAACCAGGGAGGGAGGACCAGGGGTCTCTCCCTTGTCCAAAATCTTCCCATGACTCTGTCAACAAATCCTATTGATGGTGCCTTCGGATAAGGTGCCTGGCCATTCTCCAAATTTCCGCTTGATGGTTACACCACTGCTCCAGACCTCGCCATGTCCCTCCTGGACCAGGACGGTCACCTCTTGACTCCTCTCTTCTCCTCAAGGCTGCCCATCTCCCATCATCCTCTGTCATGCCGCTGGAGCGATAGTCCTAACACAAAACCTGACTGAGTTGCTTCACTACGTAAAATCTACCAGCTGCTCCCGCTCCCCAAGCAATGCAGACGCTCATCAAGATGACACACGCAGGATCCTTCAAGACACGACTTCTTCCTCTTTGTCCAGTCTAGCAATTTCCAGCCTGTGCGCTGTGGCACTCGGGTGTGCCGCAGAATGTT